GGAAGAGAGGGACAGGAAGGACAGCAGACCGGAAACTAGGGACAGGACAGAGAAGGAGCGCCCTCTGGCTGCAGAGGGCGTAACAATAACGTTACTGTAGTTTTATTGAATTGAGAATGAATTGCAGTATTTTTTTGGAATGTGGCAATGAGCAGAGAGAGAGACAGGACATGCTTCCTGGGATTACTTTCTTATCCTAGTTTCTTAGGGGCATTAAAGTGTGCTAAATTGTTATTTTTTTTGAGGGGTGTTCCTTGTGGATATTAATTCTTGCTATGCTATTGTAGACAAGTAGCGAAAATTACTTTATTGTTATAGCTAGAGGAATAAAAATGTCAATTATGTCATCTACCTGTCTTGAGGTAGTCTGTGGGTGCACTGGGGACTCCTGTGTGGAGAGAAAATTCTTTGGAGCTTTAAAATTGCTAGCTGGCTGGGTCAGGTACAGCACCTACATATAGTTACTACTGTGACAATATTGTAGAGAAATCTATATTTCAGAACCCTAATGTTCCCTAATGTAAATATCCAAAGACATTTATGCTTTCCAAATAATTCTCAAGAAATTCTGTTTATTTTTACAAAGTGTGATGCCACATGGGGCAGGAACCACCTAAGGGTGTGAGATCCAGGGGGGGCTATGATGACTAATACTTCTTTCACAACCCATTATGGAAACGTTTTGCATAATGATTTCCGTTTTCATATATTCTCGTCCAGAAGTAGTGCTGTAGCTTGTCCCCATAGTGTAATGAGAGGCGGTCCAGGCACCCGTGAAGCGTAGTTCAGGACCCTATGAAGACGGTATAACCAGTATAAGCGGAGAAGGACATCAGGAAAAGGTACAGCAGGATTAGAATGAGTTGAAAGACAGTGGGCGTTGACGGCGGTGATGGCAGTGATGGCGTCGATCTGGTGCTCGGGGTGCAGGCGAAGGCAAATAATCCAGACAGCCAAAAAAAGGGGGAAACCAAGGCGCAGTCCAGAGTCCAGGAACTGGGGAATCCATCCGAGACAGACAGGGTAAAAATCCAGAATGGAATCCAGTACAGGAACAAGGAGTTAAAATGGAGTAACGAATGGAATAAGACCAGCCCTCGGGCTACCCAGGACCCCGGGGAATATGCAAACCTTGTGGTGTCCATCTTCCCATACTGAGCAAGGCATAGTGGGAGTGCCCACCTTAAATAATGACAGACAAACAGGGGAAGGTGCATGTAATGAACTAAATTACAAAAGGGTTGGAGCACCTTTAAAAAGGAGATGAGGATTGTGACAACTAGCAATTTATATTGGTAAGAAAACATCTGGAATGTTTTTTCCTTTTTAACCTGTCTCAGCTGTAGCCTCAGTAAGGTATTCTGGGCCCTTCACTCACAGCATCACAGTATCCCAGCCTCAGAGAACTGTATGCCAAATAAACTGCCGTCTGCAGCACCACTTTTGTCCATGTCTCTCTTACGCCTCAGTCCTATCTTTATGACTTCTTTCAAGGTCATACTTGAGGTTTTAACTCAACATCACTAAGCCCTTCACTCTCATTATCCTTTGCTCAGTGAACAAGACATCTTCTAGACTTACACTCCATTCCCATTCAGGTAGTACAAGTGGAAATCCCTCAACAAGGTTTTTCACATTTGGCCAGAACTGCTCTATTGCATTCTTTACCTTACCAGTGGCTCAACAAGGCAAGGGCTGAGGCTGCTTGTTAGAGAACACTAATTTCCCTGCTTTAAATCTCAAACAACCCCCTTTATCCTTGCTGGAACTTCATTACCTTTATGCTAACGACTACTGTCTCACTTGTATTCCGTCAGTCAATCCTCAGGCTTTGTGTCCAACGACAGCTGCAAGCACCTCAACTCTGTGTCACCAGGCTGCATCTCACTCATAAAACATATAGTAAATACTTACAACTACTTACAGCAACCAGTGCCTCAACCTTACACCCACTGCAACTACGGGCACACCACTCTCTCATGCCCAGCCACCACTGCCTTCACATTCATTCCAAAGCTACTGGCTCACCTCTCATTTCGCCAATCTGTGCTTTGCACTTCACAACCCAAGGAAAAGTTACACCCATCTTACAGCCTCCACGGGGTCATGCTACAACCCCACAGAGTCTTAAGCAGAGACCAGTAGCTACACAGTACCTTTCTCACCACTCTGTACTTCACGTATACTGTCTCTCTGGTCCTCACATACTGTATTTCTTACTCACACCTATTAATTTAACTCAACAAAAATATTTAACTTATACATACTGTAGACTTCAATTCACCTGACCCCGCATGTGCCGGGTGAAATACTAACAAGACACCACATGAATCAGGAGGTGCACTCTTACATCCATTCTGTCTGGAGTTTGCATCATACTGACTCCCTGTCTTGCTCTTTCTGCTTTGTAAGACCGGCCACAGCTGTAGCTCATGGAATCACATACTTCCTACAGTTGTGGTTACTCAGAGACAAACTCATATTTAATAGATCTAATCACATATTACAAATATAGATATCAAACACAGAAAATGTGAACACGTATTCTAATAAAAAAAGATCAAACATTCTCAGTTAGAAAGATGGCATACTGTACCACTGAAAACATTAAAAAGTAAATATTGAGTATGAGCAATGTTATATTGGACTTAGGACAGGAGAAAAAGTTGGCTACAGCAAAAGCTACTGTAGGTGTTGCATACTTGTCATGTCATGCTATATATGCAATAGTTATGCTAGTGCAATTCTAACATAGTTCGACTTGTATTGTGCTGCTGGAAAATCGATACATGTGGATTGATTCAGCTCAAATACCTGTACCAACAACTGAGCATCTGGCATTTTTATGAAATTACTGTACAAGACTTACATGACAAAAGCTTACTACTTTGTAATCCTAAGGAACTGTACAGAATTGATAACTTGATCTGCAGGACAGGAATGGATAAACAAAACACAGCCAGCAGTCGTCAGCGGTTATCATTGATAACTATAAAAAGAGTTGTTTTTGTACAATGTATTGATCTGAACCAAAAGCGTAAAGGCTCGTACATCTTATTTGCAGATAACTGAGCTTTTAACTGAACAGCAACTGTCTGTTCTAAAAATAGTCATTTAGACACTTGCTGAAAGTTGCTGATGAGGCAAGACTAAATTATTAAACAGAGGTTTTTTAAAGGAATTGTAAAGGCTGATGGATTAATACCAGGCCTTATTGATTTATTACTGAAATGCATTACATTGCCACAGATAATTAAAAAAATTACAATATAACAGGATAGTGGGGGCAGAATCCAAGGAAAATATAGTGGGTTTAATTTTAGTGGTTATTTCAGATAGCTGCTATGACAATATTACAAGAAACATAAGTGAGATGCACTGATCTTGAGAGTGCATTAATTATTGTTGGTAGCAGAAGTACAGAGTGTTTGTCTCGTCTCGTCTTGGATGAATCCCCTGGTTCTTGGACTCTGGACTGCGCCCCAGATTCCCCTCTTTGGACTGTCTGGATCTGTTTGCCCTTGCCATGCCTCCCCGAGCACCAGATCACCGACGTCACATTCCCCTGTCTATCAACCCGTCCTAATCCTGTTGTATGTTTATCCACTTACTTCCGTATTATATTGTTTTCACAGGGTCCTGATCTATGCTTCGCGGGAGCCTTGACCGGCTCCTCTTGCAATCAGACTCCACAAATTATTATTTTTTTATTGCAAAAACGTAGAAAAATTATTTAGATTATAGAGTCCCTTAAAATGGTTTTCTTATCTGGATTTAAGAGATGATGAATCATAGAAAATGTTTTTAGGATTACCTTTTCCTTGTTTCAATTAACTTCCCATAAAAGCACCATTATTATTAAACTAAAAATGGTGCTTTTATGGGACTGCCAAGGATGCCAGAGGGAATGTAAATGAACTGACTGGCCAAAGTCCCTCCATCTATGTTCAAGTTTATTCCCATAAGATTTCATGGAGTGAAAATGGTTGTCGGTTGAAGGGGAGTGATGTGTAGGTTACAATCCTCTATTTTCTTCTGAAGCTAAACAATCAAAAATGCCAACGAAGGTGGAACTGTACAGTAAATCATAATAGAGTCAAGTCTATTTTGCTGAAGAGTAAGGCAATGTTTAAAACTGAAGAATTTAAAATGGATCGGAAAAACAGACCTTAATGTACTGTATAGACCCCGTTCAGATATTACTAGTTTACTTAGGTTTATGTGTTGCATTCAGAGGCTCTTGGCTAGCTGGAACACCATTTTGTGATCTAATTCTTCGCAGACTGGGATGATTTGTAATATTTGGAATCTGACATCTGACTGGAGTGACTAATACCAAGGAAATACTTCTGAACTTGCTGTAAACTACTAGATTTGATCTGCCCTATCTGTCATATCAGTGTTTGCTGAATCATTAGGGTTATTTTAGTTGTTTGCATTTCACAATATATAGGAAATCCTGGACTTCAGATATTCACAGACTCATTTACTGGCTTTTAAATAACTACTGTTTTACTAATCTGAATGCTATTTTCTCTGAACTCAATGTTGTTGTATACAAAAAACACACTGCATAGGCCAAAATATCTACAAAGGGAGTCTGGTCACAGTTTTTACTAAAATTAAAGCAGCCATATCACCCTGCAACTCACAACTATCAACCCTGAAGCTAAGCAGGTGTGAGTCTGGTCATTACCTGGATGGGAGAGACCTCCTAGGAAAAATTAAGGTTGCTGCTGGAAGAGGTGTTAGTGGGGCTGGCAGGGGTGCTCACCCTGTGGTCCATGTGGGTCCTAATGCCCCAGTATAGTGAGAGGGACACTATACTGTAAACAAGCGCTGTCCTTCGGATGAGAAGTAAAACTGAGGTCCTGACTATCAGTGGTTGTTAAAAATCCCAGGGTGTTTCTCAAAAAGAGTAGGGGTGTAACCCTGGTGTCCTGGCCAAATTTCCCATTGACCTTTACCAAGTGGAGTGTCCAGAAAAGCACTATATAAGTGTAAGCAATTATTATTAAAATACACTGTCAAATTATATTATTAAGATAACTAGGGGTTTTAATTTATCTAGATGTTCTACTATTGATTTATATTTCTTGTTTAGATTTCCTAACTTTGCCTTAAAGGGTTATTCTGACTGTGGACACACTGTTAAAATTGTTTTAGTTAATGCTTGTTCCATGACCAATATGGCATTACTGTTTAACAAATTACAGAGAAAAGTCTAATTTTATGTTCAAAAGACACTTCACATTACCAAAATGACACCTTTTGTCAAATTACCTTCCTCCTCCATGGTTCTCTTGCTTATATAAACCACTTACATCTGCTAGAGAGGTTGGGATGTAATGTAATGTAAAATTAATCTTAATTTTGTGATTTTTGTGATTTTGTGATTCTTGTGATTTTTGTGAGCTCGCAGAAAATACATTTTATTGCCAGTAACTACTGCTGCACGCTGTATTGCTGTGCATTTGATAAATAAACTTTGATTTGATTTGATTTAATGACAGTTGTAGACCAACTTAATGCCTCTCGGGGACCATTACATATTCTAGTTTTTACATCATTTCAATGCACAATAAAGGTTTTTAAAGGTTGACGTTTTTTTTGTCACCCCTCATGCATAATTTCTCAAAGATTTCAGTTCTAGTAGATTTTCATATTCACTGTGAACATAATTTTTTGCAGAGTTCTGTGCTCTTCTAAATTGTTTTGATTGTACTCAGCATATGACTAAAATAAATATAAAATACTTGAGAGACGGGGTAGAGTTTAGTGTTCGGGTTTATGCTTACAGTAGGTGGGTTTAGTGTAAAGTCAGGGAGAGCTGATGTGGGTGAATGGTAATACTATCAGAATCATCTGATACTACTAATGCGATTTCTACAGTATGTTTCTCATGCATCTGAAACAGCAGGAACCTTTTTTTTCAAAATTGTTTCTTACCGTGTCGGAAAAAATAGTCGGACGTGGTTGCTTAGATACAGTTGCAGCTGCAGGGTATGTTCCTACAAAATAAAGCAAGCCTTTAGTTTCACAGGTACCTGAAAATTTTCGAATGATGGATGAAGGAAGGGAGTTGTCAATGACAATTGCACAGGTGGTCCAGAAATTGAAGGGGACCCATTTACATTCCCAACTAGAGAGACAGGCCAAAGTGAGTACCCGGACCATAACGCAACACTGACTGATCGGAGTCTCTGCAGGACGAGTGCAGCTGTGGTCTGCTGTTCACTGCAGTGCCTGATGTAGCGTATGGCAGGGCTTGAAAAAAGACAACAAAAATGTTATGTATAATCTTAATATTAGTTTTGCAGCATTTAGCATTTTCAAACTAATTTTACTCTACATTGTCCTCTGTTGTTACGGTACCTTATTTTTTTTGCGTACGCTAAACTACGTAATCATTAAAACACGATATTTTCAGTGTTCAGAAACCCGGAATACGTGCTGTATTATGATAACTGTTTATTTTAATTTCATGTAAAATTCGATCTCTCGGTCTAAGGTGGCAAAGTATACCGGTACTGTAAAAGTTAAATGTGTGCAAGTGTTCAAGGTTATATGAACAGAGAAATGTACAGTAATTGGAACATTATGTATTTTACGAGTAACTGATATATATATATATTAAATGGATATGGGTCTAACAGTAATCACGAAATCATGAAATGAAACACACACAAACGTATAGGATATATGCATTTCATAGACGAGTAATGAAATGATCATGCGTTTGCTTTCTATCTAGTCTGGTAGGTAATCATATTATGAAGGCTCTATTCCTTTATTGTAGAGGAAGGACATTTATCAATGACAGTGCTTCTATTCATTGACATGGGCAACCTGAATTAAGATGGCGAAAAAAAGAAATTGCAGTTTTAACTTGGTAGTCTCTTTTGTTAGCCAAGGGCAGTTTTCAAAAAACAATCTTTGACATCCTACTTTAGATCCACAAGCAATTGTTTGTAATGCAAGGTTTGTTTTTTCTGTGTGTGTGAAGAATACGTTTTTTTAACTGGAATTTTGTTTTCATAAAGAGAATTCAATCTGTTTCTCCGAAATGAAACTTATTATATTTTGGTCTTATTTCTGTTTTAGTACATTTTCAAAAGTCTTAATGAATATTTTATGTCTTAGTCCTCAAACATGTAAATCTTAGGTGAACATGAGAATAAAACTGTATATAATAGTTTACAGAGGTTTTTGTACAGTATGTGAAAAAATAAAGTGAACTAAAATTTTTAAGAATGTGCATTACGAAGTAATGTTCTGAAGACCCTAAGGTAAAGAACACATGCTATGAAGTAAGCATAGCTTATAATAAAATACTGTATATTAGGGCCATGCTACATTCAGTGAGAGTTATGTAAATGTACATCACTTTCTTATTTACTTCTTATTTCCTTAATTCTCCATGATTGTAATGGTTGACGGTCAACATGAGTTGTCTTTCCCGAAAACCTACAGATGTGAAAGTTTCAACTGTAATTTGCACACATAAGTATATATATAGTATACATATACTGTATGAATGGTATTTGCTTTGTGAGAATAAAAACAATAAACATGTAGCTCCGTGAAGTTTCCCCCACTGCATTTGTTGGTGCTGTTGAAATTAGCATTTGTTGTGATGTGCTTTCCAAGATAAAATATATTCTTTTTCAGATGTAGTGTAACTCAGTCTCGGGAGAGCCGGACCAGTCTCATTCATTTCTGTAATGTTTGTGCCAGTTTTTGGTGCTAAAAGTAACATTTGTGCTTTTTTAGTTTCCATGGCATTAGGCTGCTAAGATCTTTGTTTACTCAGTATAAGTTTATACTTCTTACAATAACTTTATCATTATATCATTATATAATTTTTCAGCTGGGGCGAAGTCTGCTGTAAATTCAGGCAGTTTTGCAATATATTCACCTTCTATTTCTGTGGATTTTTTTTGTCTTGAAATCTCAGGCTTTATTCTGTTTTATATATTTATGTTTTAAGGTTTGTTTATTATGATGTGTGCTTTAAAGCAGTAATTGTTGCAAGATAGACAATATACAGTATATAGTGAAAAGCATACATATTGGACAGTAGTGTCAAATTCTGCTGTGTACTAATGAAATATGTATTTCAGATCAAAAGATCTGAAACCAGAGGCAAAAGTATAGAATTTCTGCTCTTGTTTTTGGAAATTTTGCATACAAGTTTAACAATGTAACTTTTTGTTTAAGTTTTGGGTCTGGTTTTGAGTTAGAAGGCACAAACCAAGATAAAGAAAATAGAGAATTAAAAACAATAAAATAACAGCCAAAACGATTGCAGACATTCTCCAGAGTGCAGTGGTGAAAGTACAGTATCTTACATCTTTGTGGACTACAATTCAAATTGTAAACCTCTCATCAGAATAAAAAATAGAAAGGCCAGATTAGAACTTGGATAAAAAATACAAAAATGGACCACAACTGTTCTAGAACAAAGTTCTATGAACAGATGAAAATAAACTTTTAAAGTGACAGAAAGGTAAAAGTGTGGAGAAAGAGAGGAACTGCAAATGATCCTAAGGATACCACTTCATCTGTAAGACATGCATGCATTGCTGCCTCTGCTGGCTCACTGGTGGTTTAATAATAATAATAATAATAATAATAATTGCTTACACTTATATAGCAAAAAGCTCAAAGCGATTTACAGGTAATGGGAACCCCCCTCCACCACCACCAATGTGCAGCACCACCTGCAGCCATAGTGCGCCAGAACGCTCACCACACATCAGCTATCAGCAGAGTGATGTAGCAATTCATAGATGGGGATTGTAAGGAGGCCATGGTTGGTAAGGGCCAATGGGAAATTTGGCAAGGATGCCGGGGTTACACCCCTACTCTATTCGAGAAACGCCCTGGGATTTTTGATGACCACAGAGAGTTCGAACCTCGGTTTTACGTCTCACCTGAAGGACGGCGCCTGTTTACGGTATAGTGTCCCCGTCACTGTACTGGGGCATTAGGACTCAGACAGACCACAGGGTGAGCGCCACCTGCTGGCCCCCCTAACACCTCTTCCAGTAGCAACCTTGGTTTTTCCCAGGAGGTCTCCCATCCAGGTACTGACCAGGCTCACACCTGCTTAGCTTCAGTGGGTTGCTAGTTGTGAGTTGCAGTTGTGGCTGCTGGCTTATGTAACTGAATGTGGCAGCAGAATGAATTCTGAAGTGTACGTTAACATCTTGTCTGCCCAGGTCCAAAAAATATCTCCAAGCTAATTAGGTGGCATTTCACTCTGCAACAAAGCCTCAAAACATACTGCATACTTAACGAAGGATTTAATCAGAAAGAAAGTGGAAACTTTGATGGTTCAAAAGTCAGTCTCCTAATTTGTATCCTATTGAGCAAGGATTTTACTTGTTGAGTAGGAAACTAAACTCAGAAAACCCAAGGTCCACAATCAGCAGCAAACCTAGCTACAGTTAAGGCTTTGCAAAGCATCTCAAAATAACATATCAAGAGTTTGATGATGTCAGTGAGCTATTAACTTAAAGCAGTCATGGCATATAAAGGGTATGCAATTTCATATTACATTTCTACTGGTTTAATTTATTTTAAATTAATTTGCCCCCAATACTTGTGCACCTGAAAAGGGTAGAATGAATACAATACATGTAATTGTTCTATCATAGCTAAACATGTATGCAAAATATTACTCAGAAATAAAAGCTGAAATTCTATACTTTTGCCTCATATTAATATTTTATCTGAATACAAATTTCATTAGAACACAGCAAAAATGACATATTTTACTTCAGTATCCCATACAGCTTTCCACTGTATGTTCCCATAAATAAATGTTGTTGTAAAAAACAATTACAATTCAAAGAAAATTATTTTTTCCCAAATTTGTTAAGTCAAAATTATATTTTCATTCAGAACCATTGAAATATTGTTTTCTACATTTGTGAGGTGGTAACATTTACAATATTGTTTTGCGGATTTATTTTAAAATCCATTTGACTTAGTATATACTGTAGTAGTACCAAATAATACTTACACATCACATGTTTTTAAAGTCAGTGTTTTTATTGCATACTCACATGCCGAAACATAATTCTTTTTAAAGACAAAATGAGTTGTCACAGTTTTTGCAGATATCTTAAAGAAAGTCAAAGACTGAAATATAGTGTTTGCATACTTTTTCAGGTGTCACACATCAATATTTGATAGAGCCACCTTTTGCCACAATAACAGCTTTAAGTCTTTTGCGGTAGGTGTCTACCAGCTTTGCCACTTGTAAGGAGTGATGTTCACCCATTCTTCTTGGTAGATTTGCTCCAGCTCATTCAAATTGTTTGAACAGCGCTTGTGAACTGCAATTTTCAAATCATGCCACAGATTCTCTATGGCGTTTGACTGGACCATTCCAAAACATTCACCTTTTTATTCTTGAGTCAATCCAATGTTGCTTTGGCCCAGTGCATAGGTTCATTTTCCTGCTGAAAGGTGAATATTTTTCAAAGCTTACGTTTTTTAGCAGACTGAATCACGTTCCCTTGTAGTATTTCTCTGTACTTTTCTCCATCAATTTTTCCTTAAGCTCTAACAAGATTCCCAGTCCCTTTTGATGAAAAGCAGATTCAACAACATGATGGCTTTGCCACTACACTTTGTTTCTTGGGGCATAGGCAGTGTTAACTTTGTACCACACATAGCTCTTTGAAAATCTCTACCATCTTAACACAAAACCTCTTCCCACATCTTAGCTGGATCACTCTTGTGCTGTCTGTCAAACATCCAGATGGGTATTGAGATGGTTCTTTTTGAGTAATGGCCTCTTTCCTGCTACCTTCCCATACAGGTCAGTGTTATGAGCTCAAGATATAGTTGACTCATGCACCTTTAGTCTTTTCTCAACCAGTGAATTCTGTACATCTTTCAAAGTGATTGCTGGCTTCTCATTTGCTTCCCTCACGAGTCTCCTTCTTGATTGGATGGAAAGTTTTAAGTTTCTTAGAATGCAATTTAGTCTTCATTTCCTTGGCTTCACTGCCTGACCAATGATCTCTAAACAGATGGGTTTTTTATCCAGTAAATGTAACAGTAACGTCAATGGTGCACAGGCAGAGGCCAGTGGTAAGACAATTCTATCCTTATTAAGGCTCTTTCTTTCACTTGTGTAAACTTAGAGCTACCAGTACATAGGTAGGTGAATACCTATGCAGGCAGCATATTTCAGTTTTGGACTTTCTTTAACATATCTGCTGACAAAAATAATTAAAAAAAATTCTTTTTGAGCCTGTAAGTTTGCAATAAATAAAAAGATGTGTAAGTAGAATTTGTAATTCAAAGGGTCTGAATAATTTTGCAAGAGACCGTATACAGTATTCCAATAGCCTAGTCCTTTTTATTTTTATATATTTTGTATTTTTTTATCCGCTAATATTTTTATATTAGAAGCACACAAAATACTACAAACACCAGTCTTTTAATAAAAGGAGTTACATTCATTTGCTTGTATTAAACTGAATTTGTAATTTGCAGGTAGCCATTTAGCCATTTTAACTATGTTTCACCTTTTAAAACTATACAGCTATGAAGTATTAAGATTTGCTAATTATATATTTTCCAGAAAATACAAGCTTTTCTTAACTTCCAACATCTTTAAAAAAAAAAAGAATAAGAAGATGCATCTGTTTAATTGAGGTTTCAAATGTACAATTTATGATTAATTCACACATATGGACGCATTGAAAATAATCTTCAGGTATCACTTCAAAAGGAGTAGGTCTTCTAACCCTGGACAGACTAAGAAACCAATTAGCAGGCATCAGCATTTGCCAAAACATTCCCTTTCAGTGTTAATGTTTTGTTATGTTTTGTTATGTTATGTTTTGTTATGTTTGTGCCAAGCCAAAAATTAAAAGTGAAACAGTCTCAGTCCTTCTCATAGATAGTAAAGTAAAAACTAAAACACTGCTTTATTTGCAGTAACTACTCCATAGTAGATTATTAGTAATTATATCTTTGGTTACTCATCTTGTTATCAAAGGTCTTAGATAGAAAGATAATGTCATTTAGCCAGCAGGTAACTCTTATTTGTTTGATAAAAATATAGATTTTTTACATTTAAATTTCACAACAAGAAAGAACAGAATATCTTAGAAATGTGTTAATGCAAGGGGAGGCTGCAAGCGTAGATGATAAGGCAAGAAAAAATTACGTGGGTAAATTTTTGAAAGTTGTTGAAGAGGGTGACTAGTCCATAAGAATAGTTACAAGTGAGAGGAGGCCATTCCCCTATTTTGCCTATTTTAAAGTAGCTCATTTAACCATTTCTTGAAATCGCCTGGTCAGTATCGGGATGTCAGACCTCCTGGGAAAAACTAAGGTTGCTGCTGGAAGAGGTGTTAGTGGGGCCAGCAGGGGGCCCTCACTGTGCAGTCTATGTGGGTCCCAATGCCCCAGTGAGGTGACGGGGACACTATACTATAAACAGGCACCGTCCTTCAGATGAGACATAATACCGAGGTCCTGACTTTCTCTGGTCATTAAAAATCCCAGGGTATTTCTTGAAAGTAGTATGGGTGTAACCGCGGTGTCTTGGCCAAATTTCCCATTGGCCCTTACTAATCATGGCCTCCTAATAATCCCAATTTATCAATTGTCTTAATTACTCTGTTCCCCTCTTCACTATTAGCGTGTAGTGTGTGGTGAGCGTTCTGGCTCACTATGGCTGTCGTGGATGCTGCATATTGGTGGTGGCAGAGGGTAGTCCCCATTAGCTGTAATGCGCTTTGAGTGGAGTGTCCAGAAAAGCGCTATATAAGTGTAAGCGATTATTATTAATGATTATATTCTTCTCCACTTCAGTTAAACCATAAAGTTGTGGTGGGAGAAATTTACATCTCATCCCTAAAAAAGAATGTCTGATATTTCAGACGTCAAAGTAGCACAAACGCTGGTTCCAATGGCACCAATAAAATTACCTAAGAACCCCCGCAGTGAATATTTCCCTTGCAGAATCCCTGTATTGCAGTAATGAAATTTTCCACAATCTGCACAGGATGATCTTCTACTTCTAGGACCAGGGAAATGTGGTGATCTGTTAAGTGCACAAATATACACATTACACTGGCACACAGGAGAACCCTCATATATGTGAACAGTCCCCTCTGAGAACAGTGTCTACAGGTCACTTCCTTCATATCCACACTAAAGAACAGCATGTAACAAGAACGGACAAGATCTGTTACTGTAGATCTGTCTAGGACTGACCCTGTACATCGATGAAGGATCAGATGGGACTCTTTGGGAAAATTCATTTACAGTCAGCACTGGGCAGTACGGTGGGGGGCTGTGTTCTCACTGTCCTGGACTCCTTCTCTATTAGTGTTTTCACAGTCAAGCCACAATCCCCTCTTCCCAACTACTGCCAGATTACAATTTACATCAACAGTTCACCATCTCAAAGACATACTGACATATCTCAACAAGCTATATGACCTTAGCCATTTATACAAATACCAGAGAGCACTGACTGATAGGGAAATTCAGATGTTATCGAACACATTCCTAAACACACCAATAAAAGAGGCATTCATGTGACTATAAATAATTAAAAACACATATCTGGGAAGTTAGCCCTGCTTTTTCTATTTGTAGAGGAAGGAAACTTCACAAGCTGCGTGATGCCACTCCTTGAAGCTAGAAGGGGCTATGTCTTGAAAAAGAAAGCAGCACAAACTGTACTTTTAATGGCATAAACTGGCACAAATGTAGCAGAAATTAATGAAACTGGTTCGGTTTTCCTGGGCTGTTGCAGGGGGGTGGAGTGAAAATGCATTATATCTGTGGAATGAAAGCAGCACAAACTCTGCTTTAAAATCACAGATGTAGCACAAATGAATACGATGGGTGTCATTGTTTGTACTGTTTGTCGTAGGGCCAACTTCATGGAGCTTAAACATTCTTCAGAAATATGTTTGATGTTTCTGATACAGGATGAGCTAAATTTGTTTCTTTTTGTTCATCAGGAGTGTTTGCACAAGCCAGAAATTAAACTTGAATGTCTAAAAGATGATGTACGGGATTTCCTAAGAAACTCAGGTAAATCTTAATTTCCCTTAATGTCCAGTGTCTGTGTTCTGTTCAAAATTCTCAGTTTCTTTCCCACAGCAGAATTTAAACAAAATCTGATAAGAGTTTCTACAGTGAAAATCATACGTATTGGGATAGTGAAGTGAAATTTGTCATTTTTGTTGTGTACTACTCAAATTTGTATTTGAGATCAAAAGATAAATAAGTGGCAAACTGATTGTCATCTTTAATTCTGGATATTTTTGTGCATACTGTACATGTTTGGCAATGTTAGAACAATGTCATTTGCTGTGTATGAATTTCTGATGTAGCTTGAATTGACAGCCCTTGTTTAATGTTTGTCCTTCCACTAGAAATGCAGTTTAGATTCGTTTGAAGTCCTTTTGCTGGAGTTATAAATGTCTAAGCAAAAATAAGTTGCCATCTTCCTTTGTACAGTACATGAGTGTGGGAAAACATTTTTATCCCATCTGTGCCCATTTTAAGTTTTTTAAAAATTTTAAAACACATTTATGAGTGTAGGCTATTGAACATATTCTCCAATCATTTAGTGAAGCAGTAAGATAGATTGAAAGTTCTTTTTACATACTGACATTGAGTTAAATTTGTTTAAAAATCCACATGGATCTCTTAATGGCAAACATTTGGATTTTTTTTATAAGCATAAAAAGATGTATGTTATATTTATTTATTTTTCTAGATGTGAAGCAAAATTGTTTCTGAGGATTTTAAAGCTTTTGCATGTTGTGCAGACTCATGGATGCACTTACCATTTGTCTTTCTTTAAAGGATGGGAAAAGAAGTTACAGAATGCTGTTTATCGTGAGTTACATGTGTGAGTAGCCAAATGTTTGTTATTCAGCTAATTCCTTTATTTCTTGCCTTTATTTTATGACTTACCGATTTTACTTTGTGATGACAACCTTTTTAGTTTATGTTATAAATATTGTAACATTCCATGAACAAAGCAATGTTTAAGGAGAGTCAAACAAAACATTCCTTGAATTTTATTGTTATATTGTTATTTTACATATTTACATTTATACTGTAGGCTTTTGTGATGCAGCCTATAATAGGGTTCAGATTCTAAGAACCCACACACAAGATTTTAAGTGAAATAGTAGTTTGTTAAATTATATTTACATTTTAGGTTGTATTAAATTTATATCTAATACAATTTATATGTATTTATATGAGTGTGTGACAGAAAAGTGGCTCCTCCAGCTAGGATGTTGGTAAGAAAAATAATCAGCCTTGCGCTGTGGCCAAAAATGGCTCTTGCCAGTTTTCTAGCAAGGAAAAAATCCACTGTAACTTAGCAGAAAGTGTCTTTTCCAGCTTCCACTCTTAAAAAAAACAGTCTGCTCTATAGCAGAAACCTAGTACATTCACAATAGAGCTGTGCTTAAGCCTATGCTGGGACTGTAGTGGTAGGAAAAATAAGAAAACCCTCAGCAAGGATACTGGTTCATTCTGTGCCGGAGAAGACGCAGGAGCGATTTGTTGGAGTTTGTCTTTGGACTTCTGCTCCTCGTTGTCACCGTCTCCTTTCTCATTTATTTCTCTATATATTCTTACTGGAGCAGGATATGCAAATGATGCCTGCTCTTCACAACCCTTAAGTTTTAAAATAAAACTCCTGCTTTATTTGCTGTTTCAACTCATGCATATGCAGATTTCACTAAAGCTGTAGTGACATTTTTAGATATACAGTACCACTGAAAGTTGGCCCTGGTGTGAATGTGAGTGTATGCATGTCTGAGTCTATGTGTGCCCTGTGATGGACTAATGTCCTGTCCAGGGTGTACCCTGCCTTAAGTCCAAGATTGGTTCCGGCTCCCCCAAGACCCTGAAATGAGTGAAGTGGTTAGGAGATGAATGGTTATGGAAGTATAAAGATTATACAGTACATGTATGTGTCATTTACATATTTCATATGAGCAGCTACAGTATAATTGAAAGTCTACTAAATTGAATGCTAGTTGTATTCAGTAGCTTAAGCTTCAGAAGCTAGAGCAAAATATGTCACTATTTTAATGCCACTGAAATATTTGTGCATCATTTAGTGTCAGCTTTGGGCCATACTATATGACCATAGTCATATGAAAATAAGCTTTCTTTAGAATTTCAACTTTCTACTGTGATCAAAATAAGCCCAAAATGTTTACAAACCCTTTCTGAATGAAACTGCGGACAATCAAATTTCTGAATTTTGCAATGAATGCATTACTGTTCAATTCTGGACTGTTAGTAATTTTCAACTTTTATGTGACATTTAATCAAAGTATCACTTAACAAACTCAGAAATCCTTCAAATGTTTCACTGTACGTTGTTTGTTTCTAGGTTTACTAATGATGGCTCTTCCATCAAGCTGAAAACACCTTGACAAATTAAGTTTTACACAAGTGGAATTACTCTTTCTTCATTTTAATGTGTGGGTCATTTCACATTCATTCCTGTATAAAATATACACAAAGAATGACTGTTTTATGACACAAGATTTATTGTAGAACTCCACGAAGAGTTCTGTTTTTGGTGATGGCAGTAGAAATCATGAAGTTAACTGATAAGTGGCTGAACCAGAGAGAAAATGTGTCTGGTTAGTGTAAATGTCAAAACAATGTCCAGTGCAGTCAGGTCTTTTGTGTAACAAAATAATATCATCAAAATTTGTGTGAATATTAACAACAGAAAAAAAGAAGTATAAAGATAAGGAATTACATACCTTAAAAAAATTAAGAATAAAATGAATTACTGTAAATATTATGCAACACATATATTTAGTTATATTTAACCGATTGAAAATCTTTTTCCAAGGCTTCCTCCTCCTAGCCACCCAGCTGCACCTCCAGAGCATATTAAGGAACCACTGGCATATATGAGAAAGGCACAGGTTGGTTTTCATTCTTGCGAAGTGATTAGTAGTTATTATTCAAGCTTGTTTTGAAACTGTACTCTCTACATTGAAAAGAAGACTATATAACGATATTAAAAATGTATCACTCACAAGGCTTGTTTCCTTAGATTATGTTTTGTTTTTTCATATAAATGAAAAGTGTTCAAAAATGGTTGGGGGCTCCCAAGAGACACAAAAAGTAAAGATACTTAAAGACACCAGCTGACTGTCTCCATGGTTTCTCAAGCTACCTGTATAGCTCCTAAATGACAGAACACCACTGTAGTAGGATGGCTATTAGTCAGTCCTGGTCTTCTTGACTTTTGATGTAACACTCACTCCTGCAACTTGACAGTGACATCAGTAAGTGCTATTCCTCCAGTCAATGCAAACTCTCCCATAAGGCACTGTGGAGCATGTAGTATGTCGAAAAGTAATGGCTTTGTTAGTGTAGGTGTACTTGTTATGGACGATTGTCTGTATGTCCTCATTCTCCCCAAGCAGTACAGGAGTCATACACATAAAGCTGAGTCTTTCACAATCATTCCACATCGAGAAGGGATAAAAAACATAAGTAACTGGCAGTTCCAATAAAAAAGGTTTACAACACATTTGTCTGAAACATATCTGTATCATTTCATAACTGAAAAACAATAATTATTTAGAATGCATTTTATTTACACCTTGATGATAATACAGTACAGTAAGTTAAATTGTTTTCATTCCATGTTTTTATGTGTATTTGCACAATCCGATTAATTCTAATGTCTTCCTATATTGTTTCCTTAGGCGAGCTGGGAAAAGCGTATCCTCAAGAGTTTGAACAGCATGTGCACTGAGTTAGGCGTCCCATTGGCTCGAAAGGTATGTTTGATATCAACCAATCAACCAACAAATCAATCAATCATTTTACCACCCTATACAACAACTTGCTTTACAAATGATGAGGTTGATGATACATGAATCAATATGTTGGCAGGGCTTGGATGATATTCAATCAAATAAGATGAAAATGGAAAAGGAATAAAAATACATATAAAAATAAAAATATAAAGAAACATTAGATAAGGAAAAGTTCAAAAGAAAAACACCAATAGGAGAAAGTATCCAAAAGGATCCAAAGCCTAATCTAGGTAACAGGAGAGAGTTTATTATTATTCCTTACACTTATATAGCGCTTTTCTGGAAACTCCACTCAAAGTGCTTTACAGGTAATGGGGATCCCCTCCACCACCAGTGTGCAGCATCCACCTGGATGATGCAATGGCAGCCAGAATGTGACAGTATGCTCACCACACATCAGCTATCAGTGGGGATGAGAACAGACAGATGAAGCCAATTCATAGATGGGGATCATAAGAGGGCCATGATTGGTATGGGGAATTTAGCCAGAACGCCAGGGTTACACCCTTACCCTTTTAAGAAATGCCTTGGGGTCTTTAATGACCTAAGAGAGTCAGGACCTTGGTTTTACGTCTCATCCGAAGGATGGTGCCTTTTTACAGTACAGTACAGTACAGTTTAAGTACGGATGAAGTTCTGTAGTTTTCAGGATTTAGTCTTGCTGTCCCATCTGTGAGGACTGTGACTGGGGCTCAGAGAGGCAGAGTTTGAATTTAATGAATTTTATTTCTTAAAATGCATAACTGCCATAAGTGATTTAAGTAAGAGTGATGCTTCATTCATTTTGCATTTTTGTTCAAGACACAGTGGACATAAGGGATACAATGCCCTCAAAACGTATTCATACGAACAATAAACATCAAATAAGAAATAGATTTTCATATTGGATAATGGAAAGTGATACTTCCTTAAAACATTGAAATTATTACACGGTAATCTTAATATAATTGTTCTTTAGTGTCAGGGACTACACTGACTAAAAAACCTTCTCTAGTGTACTATGAGGTTCTGGCACTTTAGAGGGGATGTGCATGAACATTCATCTAGCAAAAGTCCTCTAAATCCTTAATGCACCTTGGTGTTAATTAGTGAACTGACATCTTGAATTTGTCCATTTTTGGCAAGCTTGAATTTCTTGGCAGAAAAACTAAGTGTGTCTGAGAAATGTCCTGTTATATTTAGACCCCATAATATTTTATTATGTGATTTTTTATAATTAGATTATTATTATGTAGGATGGGACGTTGGCACAATAGTTAGCATTACTTCTTTGTAGCGCTGGGGCTCCGGGTTCAATTCGTGCAGTGCAATCTGTGTGGAGTTTGTATATTTTTCTCGTGTTCACATGGATTGCTTCCCACAGTCCAAAGACATACTGTTAGGGTAACTGGCTTCTGGGAAAATTGGTTGTGTTTGTGTCTGTGTGTGCCCTTCGATGAACTGGTGTCTTGTCTAGGGTGCATTGTGCCTTGCGCCTGTTGCTTGCTGGGATAGGCTCTCAGGCTTCCCGACTACCCTGCATTTGATAAGGTAGTTAGAAAATGTAGGGATGTATTATTATTATTTAATTTTTAACACTTTCTATCCTGAAGATGCCAGTGTGTATTGGAGATAACCAATTGTTGCCTTTGGTTTTAAAGTGCATCCTTTTCCTGGCAGTGTTATAACTAAACCAGAACCTTTAAATATTTTTAAATGGACACTACAGTAGATAATAGTAGATTCAGCTTTTTGTAGATTCTTATATAACCATTCCCACACTTTTGGCAGTCAAAAACTATTTGGCTTCGAACACCATTTGAAGAACTCACTGACTTAACCGTGGTGATACTGCTACGACTGAATGTTTTCCATGTATTACATTTTATTATATAAAAAGAAAACCTCTCTGGAAACATGCATTGCACTTCGAAAGAGCATAATGTTATTACAAACTTGTTTTTGTTGAAATTTATTTAAAAGGAATACTTCAGTAATTCAGTTAATTTGGACAAATTTGGATTTGCTCTGTGCAATGCTGTTATAATTATTGAAGTAATAACAAGAACTCATTGTGCTATATGAAGTTTTTTGTTCCTATTTCATCTGGGGTTAGGGTTTCTTTTCCATCTGGAGGGCGCTGCATTTTCTTGAAATTGTAATGAGCTGTCAGGTTTCTCTTCCAGTTTACTTTAACTTATTCAGTGTGATTTAGCATATTTTTGTATTAAAAATGAATATGCTTATTGTTATTTTGAAATAAAAAAAGTAACTAAAATTAACCTAAACATGTATGAATTTTTACTGAGCATCTTTATTAATAGAAATGAAGATGTGATTTTTTAAATGTCTGTTGGAATTTTCAGTATATCGGTATATAAGTTTTGCTTTGGCTCCTTAATGAACCCAGTTTGAGTTAATAAAAATTAAAAGTGTTGAATTCATTTAATTTTACTGGATCTGCAATGACTTTACAGTTGAATTTTAGTTGTATTCTCATAAAACAATGTTGCATTAAGTGTGTAATTTCTGCATAAGGCTTTCGGCTTAATTCATGAGTTTTTAACTGATTGTTCTCCTAGAGGCCTGTAAGTGAGCAAAAAGAACTATTAAGCAAGTGGAATGAAATGGGAACTGATGAGCCAGGTAATATATTCTATAATATCTGCATGTATCTTACATTTCTGAAAGATGCATTTTATAACAAAAAACAAACATAACATACTGTACCTATATTCTGTTAAGATGCATTTTTATAGAACTAAATAATGCCCATCCAAACAGGATTTTAAAGACTATTGTTAAATGGCTCAAGCAGGGAGCTCCATCAGTCAGCATTGGCTACAAAGGAACAAGTAAAGGTAGTTTTGGCTGAGACTTTTTCAGCTGGAAGCACAACAGCCAAAACATTGTGGCTTTTCTTTTTACTTTTAAGTGTGGAATTAGCCTTTACTTGTTCCATCGTTTGTTAAATGTCAAATTAGTGTCTGTGCATATGTGAGCCATTGTTCTACTGACATATGTTACCTTATGTTTATACAGACGCATATTTTTGCATAGGTTGCAGTTTATACTCGGTGTGATTTGAAAAGGGTATGCAAACATTTGTTCATGATTGTGTAACTAAAATGTAAACGAATACCAATGTTATTTTAGAGGATGAGAATGGAATTAGGTGGCCCTGCAGAGATTGAAAAGTACATCAAAACTGCTTTACTGCTGTTAGAAATACAGACTTTAATGGTGATTGATACATATTTTGTTAAATGTACAAAGTGAATCAAAATATTATTCTTGAAAATTGCCACAATTTTGGTTTTATTTCTGACTTGCATTTTCGGTTTTAATCATCTGTATTATTACTGGAACAGTTAGATGTAATGATTTAAAAGTTTGCCACAAAACATATACATTATAAATGAATACTTCAAAGCTATTGATGTTAGATGCAAACAAATGTGGTGACAAAGTCATTCCTTGGAAGATTAAATTAATTATGGAATATTAAAAATAAAAGGAATTGGCTCTGGAGTAAGGCAACACTTTGTTAAAGCGACCGTTCTTTTAATATTTCATAATCAAGCTTTTGTTTACTCACTGATTGGGATTGTGAGCTGGCTTTAGATCCATCATGAGACAGGTTCATTTTACCCTACTGATGATGCGTTGTTGCAGCAGTAATCCAGCTCAGAACGAGAGGAACCACAGGTTCAGGCATTTGGTGTGTGTTCTTGGCTGAGGAACCAATGGTGTGAAGCTAACATTTGTGGGATTATGAGTGAATGGCTCTAAATCTGAATCCCTCCTCGAAAGTATTATTTAATCACTAGCTGTTTAATCTCTCTCCTTAAGTAGAAGACCAAAGCAGATTCTTAATTTTTGAAAACTAAAAAAAAAAACAATTCAAGAAAAGACTAGAATATCAAGTTATTGTGCAAGGCTGTGCAAATGTATTTAGACATATGCTTCAAAATCACATTCTTAAAATGGATAACCTGGTTTCTTTCAAGATATGATTGGGTGAAATAGGTCTACTAACATCTTTAACTTTTTATGTTCTTATCTTAGATACAATCAGGAGTTACAGATTTCAAACTCTTTCTCAGTCTCTATTGGCCTCACAGTGGCATCCCTAACCTGTTTACTTCGTGCCCAGTTGCTTACTTTAAAGGAATAGCATCATCTAGACAGTGTCTGTATGTCTTCCACTTTTTAATGATTGACTATACCATGCTAATGAATTATAAAGGATATTTGAAATTTAATTATTTGACATTCTTTTATAAAAGGTATAATTTAAGGTATAATCAATATCTATCCATCCATTTTCTGTATCCAATACAGAGTTACAGGGGAGCCAGAGCCTATTCCATCAGGGCACACACAGACACTCAAACCAGGGCCAGTTTTACCAGAAGCCAGTTAACCTGCCACTATGTACAGTATTTGGACTGTGGGCTGTAACCGAAAACCCTGAGAAAACCTATATAAACTTCATGCAGACAGCACCCGTCCACACCAATGCTAACCTTTGTGTGAGGGTGCCACCATACCAATATCAACATCAATACTGGAAAATTTGTCACACTGCAGTTTGATTGCTTACATTTATATAAAGTATCCTCTTAGACCTTGTGTACATTTACAGAAAATGGGTTTTGGAAAACAGCAAATTTTGGAATATTTGGAATTCACATCTTAGCTTGTAAAGTGTGCTTCTTTTTAGTGACAGCATCTAAATGAGGCCCAGCCATTTTCTGTTGAGTTTATAAGGTTGGACGTTACCACTAGGTTACCATCCCAAATTTAAATTGCTCCCAGACGTCAGTATAACTGAAATTACTGACACAACAACACATTTATTACAAAACATGATGTCAGATACTAACACTTTAAACATCTGAAAACTGAATAAAACATAATTAAACTTTTAATAAGCCTAAATTGTTATGCCAGAAGTTATTAATTTAACCAAAGTTAATGCCAAATTATATTTTTTTGCATACTTTTTAGTGTATTCACATGGAATATAAGGTTGTTTTATTGTGTTATCTTCAGTAATGGTAATGCCCCTGTCTTTACAATAAACCTTAATTATGAATGAGATAGTAACAACCTTAACTGCCAAGGTAAAACAGATGGTAGGTTTTAGAATAATCCTTTTGATGCACAGTGCCTAAAACAATAATCCTGTTGTTCTTCACTGCTTAGTTATAGTAGCTTACAGTAGCTATTGCTTCCTTATTCATTTTCAGACCGATTATTTCTTTGGTAAGAACTCCAAGTTACATTTCTGGAATTTATATACACTATGTAAAGACATTACAAGAAAAGTAACTGTTTAATGTAACCGCATTTTAAACATATTTCTTCCCTGAGATTAGATTGCTCTTCACTGTAAAACAAATATTTAAAATATCAACAGCAGTTAGCATTGCTGCCTCATAGTGCTGGAGCCCTGAGTTCAATTCCAGTGGTGCTATCTAAGTGGAGTTTGTATGTCCTCCTCTGTTCGTGTGGGTCCTCTGGTTTCCTTCCAAAGACATACTGGTAGGTTCATTATCTTCTGGGTTTGCCCTACCTTGTACCTGTTGATTGCCGCAATAGGCTCTGGCTTCTCTGCTATCCTGAATAGGTTGAAGAAAATGTCTAGATGGATAATTTCAAATGCTGAAGACGAGTAGCATTTTGATTTAGTTTATCTCAGTGTTTTACCTATTGATATTCTTAACTGCAAAAACACTGCAAAATAAAATATATGATTTTGAAGAAAATAAAATATTTCATTTTCTTTTTCTTTTTAAATTGACAGATTTAAGTCATTTTAGGCCTGTTTATGCTCCTAAAGATTTTCTAGAGGTAAGGATTTTTTTTTCTGTTTAGACATTCACATGAGCAACATTTATACTGTATGTGCGTGTAGTATTTCCATGCATCTATTCAATATTTTGATATACAAACATGCTTTATATTTCCTATAATAACCAACTTCAATGTACTTATTTACTCATTCTTAACAGAAAGAAACCTACATTTTTTGAGGAAACATATTTAGCTATTAAGATTATCTTCTCTAGTAGAAGCGTAACTTAGTTTGATATGAGAAATGATAGATGGGAATGAGAAAGCAAGCAATATTCTAGAAATGTCTGAACATGAAGAAACTATTCACGTCTTGTACTGTAAATGAGATTTTGACAGTGACGATATTGGAGCATGCAAAACAGTACTGGCAAATTATCACTTTATGTGACTTCAGCTTCTATGGCACATCAGACATTTTCTTTTAGGTATTCAGAATGAAAAGGACTGTAAGTGTAGATGTGTCCACTTTCTTGTATATTACCATAATACCATCCAATATGATTTTATTCAAACTTAATAATGGTTCACATCACACTTTGAAGTTACCTAACATCTACTGTGTGACATTTGTTATGCAGTGCTCTGAGTCTTTTGCCACTAAAAAATGTCTCTATCTTTACTTTATGTATTTACTTTACATTTGAAATCTGTCATATTGAACAAGTGTCCTCAAATTCAAGTTTAGTGGAATGCTGTATGTGGCATATCACATTGTTACTCTGACATTCAAATTTTTGCCTTCACAGTCATTTTGTTACACTTTGCAGAGGAAAGAAATTTAATTTGGTATTGCATGTTTAATTAATGGTGCATATCTGTATAATAAAGGTCATTCATAATTTCTGGCAGCTTAGTACGTACAGTGCCCATCAGGTTTATTCATTCCCTCAATAAAAAGGAAACAAAAACACAGAATGAGCTACACATTGCATAACATACTATATACTGTATGTCGTGCTAAAAGAAATTCTAAAAATGTTATACTGTAAAAGTAACGACTGAATAGGTCATAAGTGAATTCCAGAAAACATGATGATTCTTTTAAAAGAAGCTACATTGTGGAAATCTTGCTTTAATGTAGTGTTTTTGTTCCCTTTATATTGGGTATGAATACATCTAGAGGAAACTGTGTACTGTAATGTGCTTTTTATATTGACTTTGCTAGTTTCTAAATAAAATTTACATGTAGTAAAACAAATTTTAACTTTGGGATAAATCATTTCAAATTTGCTGTTTAATAAATGACAATTACGTTGTGCTTCATTATTTATACTGAGAATTATTAAAATGCAGCAAAAGAGTTTTAAACCCATAGCATTAGCTGTGTTTTAATGCCTTTCAGTATATAAATTGTTAGGCTACTTTGTAATGTAAAAATTAATCTAAATCCAATAAATAGTAGAATATGTTTTAGAAATATTGTATCCCACGATGACCTTAAATACTTTGCACACTTCTTTCCCAGACTTGTTTGATATTGTTATATTTCATAAATGCGTTTTATTTTCTTCCACAGGCAATTTTCAGATGTCTAGGTGTTCGCCCATTTGGCCTACACAGCTTGTTTGTTTTTTAGTAGCTAGGTTCGCAGGAAGCACTTCTTTACACAAAGCGTTGCTGGAACAGAGCTACCCAGTAATGTTTTAAAAGCTCATACCCTGGCTTCTTTCAATAAAGCTTGATAAGATCTTTGGATCACTTGGATGCTAGCAACAAGACAATCTAGATGGGCTCTCTTTGGAATCCTTCTTAAATTTGTTTTTTATGCATACTGTACAAACACAAAAAAATGATTGCTTGCACAACACAACATGCTAAAGTTAAACTGTTTATAACTTCTTTATTAAGTTGTTGAATTACTGTAGTGTTTTCTTTTAATGGAAGAATGTAACCTGAGTTGAGTTGGTTGTGTCTGTCGTATTCAATTATAAACAATTTTGATTGTTGCTACAGTATGTTTGTTTTGTTTTTATTCATATTTAAGATATTCTATTTTATTAGGTAATGTAAAAAGCAACTATGCCCTGCAGTATATTTGTGTTGTTTCCTCAGGTGCTTATCAGCCTCCGAAATCCAAACTGCGATAATAGTGATCAGGCTAACTCCAAAAGTCACTGGAGTTTGATCCAGGTTCCACTGAATGTTAAAGATATCCCAGAGCTGGTGGGTTTTTGTAAATGGGTATTGAAAATGTATGCAACTTATGCTGTGTTTGACAGAACCTGAGAACATAAGAAATGTTAATTTTGGAAACAGAGTTAAGTCTATAAAGTATGTGCTTGTCATTTTCCTAAGCAATATTACATTTACAATAGTACTTCAACTCTAGTGTATTAACTAATCTCTGTGCAAAAAGGTATTGTCTAGAATTGGTGCAAAATTGGCTTTCCGTTATTTTTTTCAGTTACGCCTTTGTATTCTGTTCAGTAAACATATTATGAAATATTCGTTTATTGTATTTTCAGGACATGTAACTAATTCATTACTGATACCCTGATCCATATAATTAATGTGTACAACTGAAAAAGAAAATTAAAGTTTTAATGTTTTTTACAAAATTTAAATTAAAAAAGTAATTAATTTCAAGGTGTTCTAGAGAAAATGTGTTCTTCAGCTGTGTATCCACAGTGCAATATTATTTTTTAATATAATGTATTTTAGTATATGTAAATTTATCTTTAATAAAAACTCATTTTAAATATTTTTAGAGAGAAGCCTTCACAGAATTGGATCTGACAAGTGGGCAGCTGGGGATTGATGACCACACCAATGTGCTTCCAGGTTAGTTCAAAGGATAAGCTGTTACAGGAATGATATTTACTTAGAATATCTGAAGGCTTAGGTGCATTTGTTTATATTGGTTTCTGCCAAGCCAGCAATTAAACACCTTTAACATTGTGCTTGGAGTCCGGTTTTCTCTTTTTTCTGATTTGATTTGCTCTGTTTTGATGGCATTTGTTGAATACTGATCTGCCTTTTGTTTCTTAACACTTAACATTGCGTTTTCTATTAAGACAATAAAGAATGTGGTGGGTGCATATTGTAGTGATATGAGTGTTTTAATTTACTATAACAATTAGAAACATTGGAACAGTAAATTAGAAGAGTATTTTAATGACTGATAGGAAAACAATCAAACATCATAATTTACAGTCTTCCAAAAAATTCCATGTACTGTATTTTATACCGAAGACATGCGTAACAAAACAGAAAATGAATATAGAAGTTTCATATTCAAAGAGTGAGTTCAACTTTCTGCTGAGAAGACGAAGCTGTCTGGGTTTGTTTGTGGTCCGACTTGACAGCTGCTCACTCTGTGCTGGGAGTGTCCCGGTACAGAGAGAATGGACAAGTGCTTTGCCTAGGATTGTTGAGAACAGCTCTGCCAGAAGTTAACGTCATTGAACTTAGCCTTTAAAACAGTATGTTCACATATGTCTGCTGCTTGTATTGAGTCACAAGTGAGATAATGAGAAACTAGGCTTGGCCTGGCTATTACTTTTACTGAACATACACATGCAGCCATTCAGAGTGATGAGCTGGCTGCACCATACCGCAGTGTGATTCTGCATGCCAAATCATACTACCCAAAGAATCTTCACTGGCCAAAGAAGATTGATAGGTGGCACTTTTGGGCAGGATCTTCATTTAATCAATTGCCCTACTTTAAATCCACTTAATATGGAATATATTAATATGGAATCGCAACTAAAATGAAATTTTGGTAACTGAAAATAAAAAAAAATGTTTCTAAGCATTTTTTAAATTAAAATGATAATGGTAGCTGAAAATAAAGAACAACAGTATTCCTCTTTCTTCATAAACATTTTCTCCATCAAAAATTTTAAAACCTCTTTCTGTGGTTATTTTGGGAAAGATGTGACATGTTGGTTTCAACAATATTTCCTGTGAATGCTTGCAAGGTTCAAGTTCAAAGACAATAACAACATGTACTTTAAAAAACATAAGTTATGTAAGTACTTATAAATGTTTTATTTATAATGTGCTGTTTTGATTGTGTTTCTCAGTCATTTTTTACACATTTTCATTTAGTGGTTTTTATTCATATTATTTAATTTGAAACCACTTTTGTTTGCATTCACTTTCTCTGTAAGCAATTATAACATCTGCAGTTTTAATGGTTATTTATATATATTTATATATTATATACCATGCTTCTATGTAGCATAATGGAAAATGAAAGGTTTGTAGTTTTCAATTTAGCTCTTTCAAGCAGAGTAATGCTTGGGATCAGTGGTGGAGTTCTTGCATGCCACGCAAGCAGTTTGTTATCACAAAGAATTAAAATTAATGATGTTATCATTTCTTAGGATGTTGACAAGAAGAAGTGAAAGCAAACGATGTGTTTCGAAATGAAACAATATAAATAAAAAAGCTGAATGAAAACTTCATTAATCAAAATTAGTTATGGGTACAGTTGGGCAGAGAAGAGTGATCAGTTTGTTCACCAACCACAAATAGTTGTGTGCTAGCTTATAAAGTATGAGATCAGAGCTGATTGGTTGGAATGTTACCAGGTATAGTTCTGGTTCCCTACAGGTTCCTCGCCGGCAGATTTTCCTTTGGGTAATTGACAGTGAACATTGACCTGTCTTGGCAGAAATAGACTAACTAAAGTCAATGAAGCCCTAGAAAGAATGATTAAGAAAGAAGAAAGATGAATAGAAATCTCTGATAACACTTAATTCTTAGTATAATATGCCTAATATGCCTTGCTGCTACAATGAATTTGTTAAGAGAGTGCTTTCTATTTAAATCTGAATGGATGAATAACATTGATTGAGCTAGTCTAGACAGTTTAAACTTACAGGGGAAATTCAGTCTAAAAATCAAGAAGAAATCATTCCAAACTACAGTTCAGAGAATAGTAGCTCTTTGTATAATAATTATGTGCTCTAAAAAACATGGTGTAAAGCCGCATTGCCAATCCCCAAAATGTTACTCTTAGGCTTCTGAGTCAGCAAAGATGACTTGACTGTTATAAAGTATAAAAAGAGAGGTACACATGCTGACATACTGTATTCTGCAGTTCACCACAGCCATTGCTTCATTAGTGGACACATTAACATTTGTATTTGCACACAATCAGAGATTAAGGTTGTATAAAACACAGGAAAAAATTGTTTTGCATTCTTTTGAAATAAAATGTGCAGCTTACCTGCTTTCCACTTAAAATATTTGCATGTTATATTTCTTTGAACAAAATTTTTAAACATTTTAATATTTTGTCCAGGTAAGATTTATATGTAATTATGTGGTAATATCCATTAAATATAATTACTGAAATTAGAAATGGGGGGGGGGAGGGGGGATAGAACACAACACATGACATTGTCCTAACATGTACAGTTGTATGCAAAAGTTTGTATGCAGTTGTATGCAAAAGCCAAATCACATATTTTGTTGATTTTCGAAGTGAAAAGAAGTTAATACAACCTCTGCAGCTAACATACTTAAACTTCACATATTTATGCAAATTGTAATGCACAGTTCCTATTTATTTACTGAATTGAACAGATTGAAAAAAATTAAAGAGTAAATGTGGCATGTGCAAAAGTTTCTGATCAGCTCGTGTTATTTTTTTTAAGGTCTCAGTACTAAATTGACTCGTTAGGCCTTAATCTAAGTCAATTAAGGCCAGAGCTTAATAAATTATTTGACTTTTCGAACCTCTCAGGGTGTTGTGCTTACACTCAACAACCATGGCCTCCTCTAAGCAGCTGAGGATCAGAAGATAAAGATAATTGACTCTTAAAGCAGGGGAAGATTATAAAAAGCTATCTTAATGCTTCCTGCTTGCAATTTCCACTGTTTGAAATGTCATTAAGAAATGTCAGTAAAGGGGAACTGTTAAAGTCAAGACAAGATGTGAAAGACCAAGATATCAAGAGATCTCAGATAGAACTGCTCGTAGACTGGTCAGGAATGCAAAACAAAACCCCCATATCACTGCAAGGGACCTGCAGGAAGGTTTAGCTGGCATGGGAGTAGTGGTGCACCGGTCCACTGTGCAGCGTTACTTACACAAACATGATCTGCATGGAAGAGTCATCAGAACTAAACCTTACCTTTGATCTAATTACAAAAGTTGACATCCGAAGTATGCAACACAACACCTAGATAAGCCAGAGGTGTTTTGGAACCGAGTGCTGTGGTCTGATGAAGTAAAAATGTAATTATTTGGCTACAATCACCAAGGGTACGTTTGGAGAGAAAAGGAGAAGCATTTGAAGAAAAGAACACCTTGCCAACTGTTAAGCATGGGGGTGGATCTATTATGCTTTGGGGTTGTGTGGCAGCCAGTGGCACAGGACGTATTGTGCAGGTATAGGGAAGAATGGATTCTACTAAGTATCAACAAATCCTGGAAGCTAATGTCCCACATCCAGTGAAGAAACTGAAGATGAAAAGAGGTTGGATATTACAACAAGACAATGATCCAAAACATACCTCAAAATCAACCATGAACTACTTCAAGAAGTGAAAGATTAAGGTTTTGGAATGGCCTTCACAGTCCCCAGACTTGAATATTATTGAAAATTTGTGGGTTGATCTCAAACATGCAGTGCATGCAAGATGACGTAAGAATATTTCTGAACTAAAAGTGTTCTGCGAGGAAGAGTGGGAAAAAATTCCTAAAGCAAGAATAGAGAGACTGTTAGCTGGCTACAAGAAGCGTTTGGAGGCTGTGATTTCTGCCAAACGGGATGTTACTAAGTACTGAGGTGCCCAAACTTTTGCACATGACACATTTACTCTTTTATTTTTTTCAATCTTTTTCAATTCAGCAAATAAATAGTAACTGTGCACTAAAGTTTGCAGAAATATGTCAAGTTTACGTTTGAAAGAGAAAGAGACTGGCCTGCATGGCAGAGTTTCAAGACGAAAACCACTGCTGAGCAAAAAGAACATAAAGGCTCGTCTCAGTTTTGCCAGAAAACATCTTGATGATCCCCAAGACTTTTGGGAAAATACTTTGTGGACTGACGAAACAAAAGTTGAACTTTTTGGAAGGTGTGTTTCCCATTACATCTGGCGTAAAAGTAACACAGCATTTCAGAAAAGGAACATCATACCAACAGTAAAATATGGTGGTGGTAGTGTGATGGTCTGGGGCTGTTTTGCTGCTTCAGGACCTAGAAGACTTGCTGTGGTAAATGGAACCATGAATTCTGCTGTCTACCAAAAAATCCTGAAGGAGAATATCCGGCCTTCTGTTCGTGACCTCAAGCTGAAGCGCACTTGGGTTCTGCAGCAGGACAATGATCCAAAACACACCAGCAAGTCCACCTCTGAATGGCTTAAGAAAAACAAAATGAAGACTTTGGAGTGGCCTAGTCAAAGTCCTGACCTGAATCCGATTGAGATGTTGTGGCATGACCTTAAAAAAGCGGTTAGGCTCAAAAACCCTCCATTGTGGCTGAATTACTACAATTCTGCAAAGATGAGTGGGCCAAAATTCCTCCACAGCGCTGTAAAAGACTCATTGCCAGTTATCTCAAACGCTTGATTGCAGTTGTTGCTGCTAAGGGTGGCCCAGCCAGTTATTAGGTTTAGGGGGCAATCACTTTTTCACACAGGGTGATGTAGGTTTAGTTGTTTTTTTTCCCTTAATAATAAAAACCTTCATTTAAAAACTGCATTTTGTGTTTCCTTGTGTTATCTTTGTCTAATATTTCAATTTGTTTGATGATCTGAAACATTTCAGTGTGACAAACATGAAAAAAAAAAGAAATCAGGAAGGGGGCAAACACTTTTTCACACCACTGTATATTGCAGGTGCTATTGTTTTCTATCTGTTGAAAATACAGTAAAAGCAATGCAGCCTACATATCGTTTGTATAAAATAACAAAATTTGTAAGCTACTGAGAATTTACCTTCTTTTCCATTTTAATAGGAAATGAGTTGTGTTTCACCAGATTCATTCAATTTTTTATTGATTATTTTTCTGTTATGTTATATGCTCTAGTCTAGACATTTGTTCCAAAATAAAATATATTTTGTAAATGAAAAATGTAGACCATGGGTGTTAACTTGTGTATAAACAGTAAATGAATCAAAGCACAACTGTCATGCAGATTGACTGTATGGTGGCTCTTCTTTTCTCCTCTCTTTCTCTCCAGCACCTTAAGTGACCTTTATAATAACAACAGTAATAGTGCCTTTAATCTAATCAGCAGTTTGAGTAATTGGCCAGTTACCCAGGTTTGTCTTAGTTCTAACAGTGTGCCTGTCGGTATGGTGAAAGGAAATTGACAACATATTTGTTTTTATAAAATGATATTTTTTTTCTTTGTGATAAACACACAATAAATGATCTGATTTCTAGCTATGAATATGAGTCAAATATTTTTTCTTACTCTCTTTTTTACATTTCTTTTTGTATCTACAGATATGTTTGAAAGTGAACACTTTAGTATTGGAAAGAAAGGTAAGATGAACAAACTGAAAAAAAAAAGAAACTTTATATGATAAAGCGTTTGAGAGCATTTTTTGTGTAGAAAGTGCAAAATGAAACACTGTGTTCACGTGGTTTTGGAGCAGTTTCCTCCCTCTGTCCACAGACATACGCTGTCCATAGTATATCCCAGCTTTCATCCGTTTCTTGCTGGAATAGGCTGTGACTCCCTTGCAACCCTGTATTAGATAAATCTCCTAGAAAATGGATAGATGAATAAATAGAATGGATAGATGACATGATAGGTGGTTGAATGGTTTTATGCCATTTGACTTTGTTTTATGCTTACAGGCAAGTTTAAGAATGAATCAGTATTTACTTTGCTATACAATATTCATAGCCTTCAGCCATGTCCTAAGGGTCATGTTGATTGATGAAGAAGTAAAATGTCTTGTGTCTTTTTTAAGTATAAGTGAAACTGATCACAAAGTAAGATTATAATAAAGGCTGATATGAACAACAAAACAAACTACATGAGACTACCTCTTGTTTGTAGCCTTTAATCTATTCCAACATATGTTTGTCATGCCCAGCCATGCAGCGGCTCACAGCCCACAGTAGCCATGTGGGAATGTAGTTCTCTCCCGAACTAACACATTCCTCACTGGGCTCCAATTATTATTGTTTGCGTGCCAATTCACCCCTCCATCTACTGTACAAAGCCGGCTCCTCATTTAATCAACCCTGATTATCTATAAGAGACCTAAACTGTCATGGGGAAGACACTTTGTCATTTGAGCTCTCAGGGATTGCTACACACTGATCTGTCCTGGCATCTCCTGTTTCTTACGAACAAAACCTAGAAAAACCCTGTTCTTCCTGAAATGGCTCATTTTCCTGCCTGTGTAACCAGTCTTTTTCTCTGCCTGCTGGCTTTTTCAGAACTTCTCTCCCCCATTTTTCCTCCTTTATTCTCGGCAACCTCTCACAATCTCTGGAAATCGCAGAGCATCTGCAGTTGGATTGCCTGCCTGCCGATAGACACAGCTGTCATCCTGAGCAACTATATCATAACAATGTTTACTTAGGATTCTTATTTTCTTTGTTTGTGTAGTATAGTCAAAGATGTAATTTTGGAATAAGAAATTGTACCTTTCATGGAGAATGTGAAGAAAGCATAAAGTGCAGGAATTTTTTAAGATCTACAAAAATAATAATAAAGGAATTGTTGCTATCCATTGGACAGGTTCCTAATGTGCTTATATCAAACTTTTTTTGTGAATTAGAACCACGGATGTAGAAATCAAATAACTTAATACAGCCTAGAATTGGGGAAATTTTAGACAGGAGTTGTTGTATTGTTTTTGATCAGTGAATTGAAACAAATTTAGACAACAAATAAGAGATGTAACTGTCGGGGAACACTTAATAGTAAACTACACAGCAAACTTTTTTAATATGTAGAAAAACAACCTAACTGGTTTGCACAAATTCCGGTAAACAAAATTATTATTTGATCATGATCACAACTTTAGTTCATAATATGTAAACAAATTGCATCCAATGCCAGAGTTTTCAGTCATAGAACAAAAATACATAATAAATGAACAAAATCTTAACATAATTTGAAATACATAAAGGGAGAGAAAAAAGAAGAAAAAAATCAGAATAATTACATGATAGAATCAATAGAAAACAAGTGAGAATAGAGAAGGAAAGACTGTTACACTGTGTTTAACTTTTGAATAGGTCCTTGTGTTGTATATTTTTTCAGATTTCATAACCTCTTCCAGTTGAGTAAGTAAAGGTGTCTCTCCAGCAAGAATGCATAGGCCAAAGCTTGTCTTAAATGCCAAAGAGAGCTTTAAGGATGAGTGAAGTCCTAAAGAGACAATTTACAGAGCCAGCACTACACATTCATCCATTAGTTTGCTGTTAAAAGCTGAGGTATTGGTTTTTAAGCACTGCCATTTGTGGAATAATGTAATACACCCATGATAAAAATTTTAGCTTTTTTATTTGGACAGTAACCTTCAGTTAGTGGTCTGTTCTAAAAAATCTTTAACAAATTTAAAATAGAGAGTACTGTTAAGGGGTGAAATCTCAATTATGTAATTAGTTAATTACCACAGGGATCTGTACTAGGACCACTGCTTTTCTTAATTTATATACAGTCATTGACCCAGATTCTTAAATAGTAAACTAGTCAAGTTTGCAGATGACCAATTTAGGCAAAATGAAATTAAAAAAGATTTAGTTGAGTTAATGACTGGAATATGTAAGTAAAAGTGTAGAATTTAGAATCCAGGTTAGTTACTCTATATTAAAAATGTGTAATGCACTAGTAAGGTCTTATTTAGAATGTTGCCTACAAGTCTGGTGACCACATTATAGAAAATATACTGCTGCTCTGGAAGAAGAGCAACCTATAGGTTCTGGTGCTTAAAGGAATGTCTTACACTGACAGGCTGAATGAAGTGAACATTTTTAGTCCTGAACTGAGAAGACCTGTTTTCAAAAACCTTAAAGATATTGAAAAAGTCAACCAAAAAGTTGACGTTTGAGGGTATAAAACAAGCTACTAAGCCATATTGTTGATGCCAATGCCCTGGCTTCTTTCAAGATATGGCTGGATGAGATCCTTGGATCAATTAACTACTAACTACCAAATGGGCTAGGAGGGCCAATATGCCTCCTCTCATCTGTGACCCTTTTTATGTTCCTCTTATAAAGTTATGTTTCAGAATGTTCCTTCACAATATATTCAGCTTATAGATAACTTCCATTTGAGGATTTAATTTTGTTGGAGTTAATAAAATATAGTTTGCTTTTACCCAGCATTGTCTTTAACATTGTTTACAGATTGCCATTATATCACCATCTTAATTAGTATTTGCATTGGTTGTATTCCTCATGATTTGACTAACATCGTGTTCCTGTAAGATTCAAACATGTCATACAAGTTTTATGGTAGCAGAATGGAATGTAAGCTTTTTTTTGTGGAAAAACCTTAACAATCTATTTCCTCAAGTGACGTCTGACCAGAAATTTATAGCTAAGTACACTCATCCTATATTTATATTTCCTTGTCTGTAGATTGAAACTGTATTACCTTTCTTTCAGTTCTAATAGAGCAAGACAGTGCTGCAGCTGAGCAGTACAGTCGACAGGGCTGCCCCACAGGCCTGCGAGCAGAACTTTGGGCATTGATTCTCAATGTTACCAATGAGCCAGAGGTAGGATTTCAGCATGCACAGTGAACCTATTTACGACACCATTACAACATTGATATTGCATATCAAATCAATCAATGACAATAAACACAAAAATATGCCAAAATCAACCTTGATCTTGTTGTAAATAACTTTAAAATTGTATTTCATCATTTGTTATTTAACAAAATGGGATATTATCATCATACATTTTCAAGACACTAGATCTATCTGTTCATATATACTAGTTAATAAGGGATATTTTAGCTTTGTGAAGATACACCTAAATGGAAAGAACTGCACTTGCTATTTTATGAGCTTCCTTAATTAAGGGAAAAGGACTTGATAGTAATTTTTAAAACTCAGTTTAGAAGTTGTTATACAACCAAAAAATAACTGTACAAAATCTTATAGATTTAGCTTTATGTTAGTGATAGCAACATACAAGACAGGACCATTAGGATGATGTTCTAAATATTATATCAGTGTTTTCCATAGGTACTTCATTTGAGGATATTTCTGAACAAGTGCTATCATATAGAACAGTCTCAGTGTTCGAGAATGTTTTGTTTATTCTGACAGCCAAGCTACAGTAAAGACAGTAAAGACAAAGACCTTCAAGGACCTTCAAGGTCTTTTTCATCTTTTGTCCGCATTTATTAATGTGATTATTTTGTTAACAACATTTCAGAATATTTAGAACAAATGACAACTTTTGACATGAGTTATTTGTTTTGCTATTTTTAGTTAATAATTTTTTTAATTAATCCTATTGTTGTGGATATTTAAAATACTTAAAGAATCAATATGTTACAGCATATTCCAGTAGGTACTATAATTTCCTCATTTGCTGCTCTCTTTTAATCAGTATGGAAACAAGGACTGCCAACAGTGCTGCTGAGATGAAGATTAGCAGACCTGCCTTTAACTTGATAAATAATAGACCACTAATCTGATGTTTTTAAGAGAGTCCAAGTTGCATCTTGGCTATAAATTCACTATGATGTTTATAGAACCAGTATAACTTGTCTTAGCTTTGAAATGCTAATGTAATCAAACATAAGGCAATTTAGCAAAATTATCTTAACACCAGTTAACTCCATGTGTGGTAAATGGCGGTGTCTTCTGAAATTGTGTAACCACCAGTCAGCAACATTTGCCCTTTTTTTTGGAAGTTCGGCCCTGCAAATGTTACATTGAGCAGCACCTTGGTAATATGTTTTCAAGTTGTTATATGATGCACACAAAATGTCATAACGTTTCTTGAACTTTCAGATTGTTTATACAAACCCAGATTTTCACTGTAGAAGCTTCTTGGTTTATGCTAATTGCTGAACACAGTTAGACCAGAAATAATCTTAATGAGTAAATATAAAATGGGGGTTCCTAATAATTGGATCTATTTTATTTTCCATCTTTGGAATAATATATATATATTTACCTCAGTACTACAACTCATATATAATTATCTATAGAATAGAATACTAAAAAAAAACATTTTCTTTTTTCCTCAGTAACCAGTCAGTTTGTTAAAGTCCCCTAGCTACTACATGTTTTACAAATTACATTGTGACCACCACAGACTATTATTCTGAAAAGTATTGGTATAGTAAAACAAACCAATGTGAAAGGTTTCACAAAATTAAATGGAGAACTTTGCAAAAATTGCTGTTATGTTAGTCAGGAATCAAGTTAAAGTTACAGGAAGCTATTTGGCATTTCTGTGTTAGGTTCTGTTTGTCAGCATGTAAAAAAATATTGTAGATGACACTTTAATTTGAGAAATATAAACAATACATTAATCTGGCTCTTTAGCAGAATGTCCCAAAAATTAAGTAAAGCTATTTTTGTTAGTCTATGTCCAGTGTTAATTGAACCAACTGTTATTTACTAGTTTTTATAAATGTAACTGTAGTATATCAATCTTACTTGCCTGGAATATTTTTCACTCTACTCAATATTCTATAACTTTCCTGCTAAGCTTAACAAAAGCATTTACCCAAGAAAAAATCCATGCAATTTTCTAATTTTGAATTGTTGTATGTACTTCCATTATTTGTTTCTTTCAGTCAGTAGACACAGAGGTTCATTATCAACATTATCAACCACTTGGGTTTCCTGTCCCTTTAAAAATCCCTTATGTTTTGTTCAGTGAGCAGGGAAATTGCTTTTGTTTCTGTATTAAGAGTTTTTGTGTATCTAATCTCTGCTGAATGTGGTTGCAGAACACAGTGTTTATATATATGCTGTCTCACTTTGAACTGAAGAGACATGTTTCTTCCAAACATTGTGTGACTATAAACATAACTGGTAGAAATCACTACATAAATGTCAAAATAAAAAGTACCATTAATGTTTTAATGGGTCGAGATAGGTAGTGTTCTAAGAGAAAATAAATGCATTTCTTTCAAAAATATTCTTGCACAGTAGTTTGTTTTCAATCACATTGATTTGGCATAATAGTCACTTGTTATCTAATAAATGGTGATTATTTTTGGTATGTTTCTTTAACAGGATATAATGTATTATGAGCAATTGAAATCTGGTGTCGTCCATCATGACCTTTTAGTTGACAACCTAATATACAAGGTATGGCTCCATGCATGTATAGTATTAGATTTCCCAAATACAATTTGTTTGTAGAGGTTAAGATGTGAATCACTGTTGAAATGGGTCCTTGCTATTTGTTAAAATTTTCTTTTAGAGGGAATTAACTACTATATATAACAAACAGATATTTACTGTAACTATTAATAAGCCAAAGAGTTTTACAACTGTAAGGATACTATATATAATTTAGAAAATCCTTATAGAAAATGTAATGCTGTCTTGTAGAACCAGTATAATGTGTTGTTTTGTCCTCCAGACAAAATTTAGTGAATTAAATTTAAAAAAGGATAGTATTAGTGTTTCAAAACATTTAGTTTAGTGTAGGCAATAGAAACATTTTGACATGCATGAACTAGTTTGAAGTATGATTTATCCAGTCGTTAAGGTAGTTTATTCATCCATCGAATTTAATTGTTGGTGTTTTAAGTAACATTTCAATGAGCATAAAAATATAAACATTTTAAATATTAGACAAAGCAACTCATTCCTTTGGACTTGATATATTCAGTCTCAAATATGTATATTTACATTTGTTTCTGAACAAACCACTTTTTAACAGGATGTTAAACTGACAGCCAGTAACGATGATTACTATTTTGTGTTTGAAGATTACTTATATCAGGTAAGTACTTGTTTCTTTGCTTCATCACTTCAGTTAGTCCAAGTAGTGTAGTCTCCAAGTAGTGTAGTCTAATACTAATCCAATAGTGCTGGATTTTGATTTCTAATTACTTTAAAAATGTTTGAAGCAAACAGAAGCTAATTGTGATAAAAATATAAATATTTTTTTGGTGCATCTAGTTTTTCATTTATGCCTAAAATAGCACATGATTCCACAAAATAGAAAAGAATGCTATTTTAGTTAAGAATCAGATTACCAGTGGGAATACAGATTTAATGTTTATAATATTTCTAAATATTGAGGAGTAGCATTAGAGTTTAAAAGTACTGAAAGAGCTCATTAATAGTTTCACATTCACAATAAATAGTGAATTTGATTAATGAGGGAAAGGAGTAGTGATGATTCTGTAAATAATAAAACCATTAAAATAAGTAATCTGTGTTCTTACTACTACTATTCTCTCTGCCACCACATGAATGTTTGACATGGAATATCCTGCTCTTCTTCTACTCCTCTTTGAGATAACCAGCCAAGGATTGCTATCACTTTGGCTGCCATGTCTCCAAGGTTTTATTGATTTTGATAGTTTGAAGATAAGTCTTGTCCATTTTTATTCTTTGGTTAGGTCTTTTCATTCTTCTTATAAATGCTGTTAGACTCAATTAAGCTTTTCACAGTTATATCAGTAATGGTTTCTTGTTTTGTGATTGGTAGTTATTAATGTGGATGATCAATGATTAAATTGAGTCCCAAACAATAAATTAACCATAAAAATGGCACAAGCTCACACACTTATTGAGATGAGATTTCTGTACAGTATTAGGAAAATACATTTGGAATCCAGTTTTTGTTTGATTACAGGATAACTTAGTGTATTTATTTTTATCTCCAAAACAAGTTTCAACAAAAATATATTTTGAAGTTGAAACATTTTTTAAATTACTGTATTTCATTCTACTTAAATTGTAACTTTAAGGTTAAGGTACAGTGGCTATCAAAAGTACTCAACTCCCTCTGACTTTTTTACATTTTATTGTGTTACAATATGAAATCATATTAACTGAGAGTGTTTGCGAATAATTGACAGAAAACACTCTGACAAAAAAATCCCATTTAAACACATTGTGTTTCTATATTGTAACACAGTAAAATGTTGAAAAGTCCAAAGGTGGTGAATACTTTTGATAGCCAGCGTATTAACCTCTACTTACTCCTTTGCAGCTTGTACACTGATACATGTCCCTACTTGAATATATTACATTCTGATACTTTCTTAGGTGACTATTAAACAAGTTTGATTTGAGGTCGTATTCATTAGCAAATTATTGCATTTGTTCCAGCTCAATTTTTCTCACATTTCTGAACCTCATTTTTAGATAATAGAATTTCAATGTCAAAATCAATGACAGGCAGCACTCTAATATATTTCACAGATAATTATTTAATAGGGGTAATACTTATCCTTTTTAGATGTGGCTTTTTAGTTTTGCTTGTAGATGTGTCTTTGAACTGACATGCTTACAAAATCAGTAAATATAGCATTGAAAAATGCATTTTATTTTCTTCTAGTAAAGCAAAACTACATAATGTGAAAAATAATCATTATGGTAAAAGCATCTTTAAAAAAAATCTTTAAATGCATGTTTGAAAGACAGTGTGTGTGTCTGTATTTGTGTTCTTGGACAACTCGGCATAATACTGATAAAATTTGATTATAAACATTTTTTATTGGCATACTGTTTAGTCATGATTGTAAGTGCAACAATTTGAATATTTATTGCCTGATTACACAGATAATTTTTGTAACACATTATTGTTTAACTTTTGTCATTCACATTTTTAAGCTGTGTTAACCTACTGTAATGTTCTATAAAACAGACTGCCACATCATTTCAGTTGATGTGGTCCTTTTACATTACATATAAATTCAACATGATTTGATCATTTTTTATATTGAAAAAAAAAAAAAATTCTTGATTGCCCTGTAAGCATTTCTTTTAAAAAAACAGGTAGTTTTCCTGTTTTATGGGAAATAAACCATTTGTTTTTAGAGTTTATGAAATTTGAACAGCTATGAATATTTATATTGGGCAGGCTTTATACCATATGTTATAATCTGATAATGTCTGGAATGCTGAACACATCTCTGAGATTACTTGGATGTGAATGATAATTGCTTATACTTAAACTTGTTGAAGTGTCTCATCATGCTGATTAATGATGAGAGTACCTTTTCTTCTGCATTTTACAGTAACCTCAAGTAACAGTAACACTGTTCATTTTAATGTTAATCCCTCTCATTTTAAAGTAATTATGAATATGAATGATAAGGCACATTTAAAATACTGTACCTTTGCGAGAGCTATTATATCTTGCTGTGCTCTAAATTTAAACAAAAAATGTGGTTTGCATTCTTTAACATAAGAGTAGGGTGTAAAAACCTGATGCAGTTTTTACCATTTAGGCTAACAAAAAATAGCCAAAATTTCCCCATAAACTATATACTGCAGGAAATGCACTATACTGTAAAAGGACATTCTAAAACCTATGATTTGTTTCATGGTTGATTGTGAAGAAGTCCATAGTAATGATTTTGTTAATGCTCTTGAGGATTTTTACTACTTGAGTTATACAGTTTAATCCAGCATTTCTTATGGTTATGTTAACTATTTTTTGCTAAAACAAGACTCTTCCAGATTAGTTTATTTAAAGTTAATTTTAGCAAGGGGAGTGCTAAAGAAATATTATCTTATATTGGAAATAAGATTAGGAAGATACCTAGATATGACCAATCACAATGTGCTTAGATCTTTGATATTCATTTTTCCTTCTAAATTTGGAAATGCAAGCATTCTTTTTTACTGGTGAAAGACCCAGGGTTTGGGGTGCTGTAGCAGTGATTTTTTCTATAGGAAGGTCCAATTAAAATACATAGAAGTGTAGCTATAAAGTACAAAACTAGTATTAATTTATTTAATGAGGAAAATAATCAAAACCACAATGCAAAGCTCACGCACAGTTTCTCTTTTGAGCTTCTAAGTAGACTTCTGTTCTTCTGTACCAGCCTTGAAGATTCTCTTTAATCTTGAGTGAATGGGTCTGCTGGATGAGCCATGTAATAAGCTTTTATACTTGATTATGCTTCACACAAAAACTGTTACTAGCTTCCTATGCCATTGCAACACTCTTTTTGAAAAATCTGTTTTAAAAAATGTGTTATTTTGAGTCTCCATGTTCTTCTTGAACCCCATGTGTATCAGAACAATTCCAATACGTGAAAAGAAGAGGCAGAGAATAAAACTAAAAAACAGCATACACAATCCATCTCTTCATTGTTACTATGTCTTCACATAGTTTTTTTTGTGTTTTTTGCTAATGGAAGTTCCTAAAATAACTGAGTGGCTCATGTTGATTAAAAAACTTGTTATATTTGTATATACTGTATGTTACAAATGTATTTTATAGGGCAGAGCAGTGGCTAACATTGTTGCCTTGTAGCGCTGGTGCCCTGAGTTCAATTCCTGGGGTGTGTGGAGTTTGAATGTTTTCCATTTGTTCATGTGGGATTCCATTCAGTGCTCAGGTTTTCTCCTATAGTCCAAAGACTGGTGTTCTGTTCAGTGTGTATCCTGCCCTTGTGCCCATTGCTTGCCGGGATAGGCTCCTACTCCCTTGTGACCCTAAACTGGATGAGGCAATTAGAAAATGTATGTATGTATATTATATTTCCAAATATGAGATGAGATTTTATATTTCATACTTAGAAACAAATATAAATGTTTTTGGAAGGAAAGCTTTACTCATCATCTTATTATAAATAATAATGTGTGATGTCTGTCTTATTCAGTCTGTTTTAGAGAGTATTAGAGAATCAGAGATTTATTTAGAGTTTTATCATCACATTTTGAGATACAGTGTTTTTAGCAAAGACCAGTCATATAATATTGTAATAGTTTCTTTAAAATAATTCTCCCATACATTTGTTAAATGCAAATAAAGACATTTAGTTTATGAAATATTTCGATTTTTTGGCACTTTTTTCTTATTTCTCTTAGGTCAGGAATTTTTGCAGAGTACTTGTAGGTGATAATTGCTATACATACAGCTAGCATTGTGTCACATTTTGTAAGAGGAGCATTGTAGCACCACATGGCATCACATTAGCCAAAGATGGCCACATCTGTCTGATGCGTTTGCATAATCATTTTCAGACTGCAGTACTTGCAGGATGAGAGGAAGAATCAACATGTACTGTACAGTCTTAGCAGAATGACTGAACTGTAGTTTGCCACCTGTATTAAAACCATCTACTCACTTAGAGTTGTTCAGCAGTAATGTTGATTTCTCAGAGACAAAACTTGCCATCTTGTGTGAGTCAGAGAATATCTGAAGCAGAGGCAGAGAAAGTGATTCAGTTATGAAAACCATTTTTGCCCTTGATAGAACTGATGGAAAAAATGCAGGGATGTAATGCTGACGGTTGCTTTGTTGAAGTTAACCAGTGTAGTGATGGAAGTATGCTGATATAGAGAGTACTATCCTTTAACATAAAAATGCCTTACGGAACAGACTGAGGGCAGCCTTCAAGCCAAATCCTTGAGCCAACTGTTTTTTTCTTCCAGCAAACTGTTGTGATAAACATCAATTTTTCAGCAGGACAATGCAAGACCACACAGGGCTAGGATTATCGGGGCATGACTTCAAGAAAACAGTGTCAAAGTCTACTGTAGTTGTGGACAGTCCAGAAAATAATGTGTGGGACCAAGTCATTAATGCAAGGAGAGGGTGACTACAACATACAAAAAGTTACAATCGAGAGACCATTCTGTCCATTCAGCCTTTTTTGTGTTCTAGTAGTTAACCGATCCAAGGATTTCATTTATACGTGAGGGTATCAGCTTCAACATGACTTTTTGTAAAGTGTCTCCTGTTATCAATTTTAAATGCACTTCTACATAGTTCCCACTTGTGTCCTCTTTTTTTTTCAGTTTTCATTCTGAAGTCCCCCAGATTGACTTTGTCACTGTCATGTAATTTTGTCTTTCTAATGTAAAAAAAACTTTTGAAGTCTGTAAAGTTTAGTTTGGATTTTTTCTCGTAGAATATAATTCTTCTGTGAATTACAGTTTAGTAGTGTTCACTGCTTTGGGTGCTTTGGTTTGCATCTCTGTCACCAAGGCCTGTCGTCATCCTAAAGGAAAGTTTTGTCTATAGTTAACAGATCAGTAAACATTTCACAGGTTATGTAAAGTGAATAATTTAGCTTTAGACTCCAGGTGTCAAATGATAAAGCATGTGAGACCACTTAGAAATATTGATTTTTTTAAAGGCCTCCTAATAGAACTTTGTAAAGCTAATATTTGTGAGCAGAAGCTGGCTGAGGAAAACTAAACTTAAGTAAAATGGGAAATGTTTGCATGAGATGATATATTTCTGGTTCTGCAGCTTTTTATTAATGTGATGTACTGTGTTTACTTCTTGTGGTCTTACTGTGTAATTCAATTAATCTAGTGAGCATGATTCACAGCCCTTAAAATGAATTAAACTAAATCATGGCAATGGTTAATATTTAATTATTTTTAGATTTGTTTTCTTTTTCACTTTTACAAAAATATGTGCTGGTTTAGAGGATATAGTATTTTTATTTTTGTACACTGATGTGACTGCCTCAGATAATATTATACAGAAGTCGAAAATATTATGCAACGCCTAAGTGAAATACATTTTACTTAAAAATAAATATTTTGCTTTAAAAGTAAATGCAATTATTGCAAGTAAATGTTAATATAAATATGTTGGACAGACATCATTATGACCGTCTTCTAGGTATTAAGTCTCTTCATCCATCATTCAACTAAGACTAACGGCACTATATTTGTTTTTTTTTGCTGTTCAGAAAAACTGCTATTTGTTTTGGAGATAGTAGGGACTACTTTTCTTTGTGTACATCTTTTTCTAAATGGGTTGGGTTTGCTTAGATTTTGAAATTCAATTCTGAATGCTGATGCTGATCAGTTGATTGATTTACATTAGCTCAATTTTTTAAGATATGTTGTTCTTTAGGATAAGAGATTTTCTAAAATTATCAGGTGCTCAGTGTTTGGTATTTTGGTTGAATTATAACTTCCAACAGAAGTTAATAATTGTATAAACACGCTTTAAAAGGACATGATTTAAATTAAATCTGGAACAATAAAAGATATAGCTATTCCCCACTAGATTAAGATTAATTAAAGGGGCCTTGTTACTGTCAGAATTATTGAATGTGGTCTGGTTGTGAGAAATGTTGTTGAGAGTGAGATCACTTGACAAACTGTTTGCAAGTTTCTTTTTCAGTAGTTTACTTTTTTAGTTCTATAAATCATAACTTTTTTTTTTGTGAATACAGGTATTACTTTGCTTTTCACGAGACACCATGGTTTTGGAACATTTTAGTTACAACAGTGCCACTCCACCCAAATCCTACATACGAGGTAAATTAAATTCATGCCTTGAGGATTTTAATTCTCTGTTTGAATTTTGAACAAAGGAAAATAAGATAAATCAGTTTAATTTTTTTTAATTTAAAATGACTGGTTTATTTTCACTCTTTTAGCCCCCTTCTCCACCTCTATACATCAGGGGATGTCTATCACACTTATTCTGAGATGTGAAGGTCAATGAATCCCTTGTGTTTATAAGCACTTGATTTTAACATTCAAACAAAATATCTGTTGCACCATACACAGATTGGACACTGAATTTGTGGAGCCTCTCTCACCTAATCATGGTTCACTGATGATTGACAACATCATACAGCTTTACCCTGTCCAATCCCATATCTGCTTGGCCATTTCCACTCCGGGCTTCAGTCAGCAGTTGGAATGGCATGGATTAGAAACCACAAGAAAATTCTCTGAATGAAGGATTGTGAATAGTCACCTAAATGTTTATTATTTTACTTAAAAAAATGTTTTTATTGTAGATTGGATTTTCAGGGGATGATACTGGAAATAATTAAATGAAATGCAAGATTATATAAGAAAAAATAATTCTTAAGCTTCTCTTTGTTTAATCCATGTACAGTATAATATGCATCAAATGTTACATTGCTCTTAGTAGAAAATTTTAATTTGCCTTTAAATTCATCATTTAACATGGCATCTTTTTCTAACTACTTAAAATGTGGTAAAAAATAAAACTTTTCTGCAAAGAAATACATTTACTGCAAAGTCTTTTTTTATTCATAGGGAGGCTGGGTGTAGAAGAATATGCTGTAGTTTACCCTCCAAATGGTAAGAATGGTGTTAAAGCTACCTCTTGTGATTTATAATATACTATAGCAGGTGAATGAGGTACAGGGATATTATTACAAAAAATAACACTTAGCTACATTGCTAAGTATCTGGTCTAGAATATATTTTTATAAATTTGCCTGGCATCTTGCCTATTCATATATGTTTTTTTACCCATAGGTGTCATTCCATTTCATGGATTTTCCATGTATGGTAAGTGTTGTGTGCTGTAATCAATTTTATTAAAAAGATAAAATAAATCAACAAGTATGCACAATGATGCAAAAAAAGACAACATATCAGTTTTTTACTATCAGAGGGCAGAGGTTAAAGCTCTGTTAGTGAGCTCAATAACAGAGTTTTAGGTACAAAGATGTACTGTACATAGTACTGCAATGTGTATGGGTATCAGAACTCTATTCAAGGGTATTTTGTTGTTCAGAATGAATGCTACTTTCTTTCCTTATTATTTAAAACCCATTTCTCATTTATTTTTTTAATTTAGGATCAATTTTATTGCAATTGAAGTTTTGTCTAGCTATTTTTTTTATTCAGTTGCCATTGACCTGGCCCTGCTTATTTTGATGTGGTTGTCAAAACATTGATCAAGAACAGTTCTGAAGCTAAATTCATATTACATTTTGTATACACCATCTTGACAGAATCCAATACGCATCCATGAAACATTGACATTACATTTTATTTTATTACAATTAAGCCTGGAGTGATACTTATTGTACTAATACAGTGTGCTGCTGCTTTAAAATGTGCATTGCATAATGCTTGCAGTTTTTTAATGCCTTATTTCTGTATTGTGAACAGTTTATATCACAATTCTATGTAAACCATGATGGAAGTTTTTCCTTTTTTACACTGTGTTGGCTATGTGGCTGATGGCACAGTTTTAATAAATTTATATGGGTGTAGGATGGACTGTACAATGTTGTTGAAAGAGGAATAGGATGTGGGTCTGCTGAATAGTGATGTAACCTGCAGACTTTATACAACCATATCTAAATGCCAGCACAAACCACCACAAAGACACCATGATTGACCATTCTCATCTACAACATGTTGGGAAGATCACTGCCTGAACCAAAAAGACTCTTGTCCTCTTCCCAATATAGTGACACATTTAGAAGCCCAGGAAAATTACTACCTACACCTAGCTAAATTTGTGAAGCATCTCACATTCTGCATCTTGTCTGCTGCCTGCTGTTACTGCAACATCTGACAATCCCTTCTGAGCATCTTTTTGTTCTTGGCTGTATCGATGCTCTTTTAACAAATAGCATGCTGCTTGATAGGCATCAGGGGTGTTGCTTGGCAGGTGTTAATGCATTTGTAATTAAACTGGGTGGTGATATTATACACATATACGATGAGAGCTCATGCAAATACTCTGACTTTGGCAACATCAAAAGTAGACAACAGTGTAGCCTCTGGTAAAAGGTGAAATATTACTGTAGCCATTGCTACTCTGATTGTAGATTATAGTCTAGGTTTATGCACACAGCCTTCATTTATATTATATCCTTTACATGGAAGTCAGCATGGATAATGGGCAGTTGTTTTCAGGGGTACTCATTTTATTCTGCGAAGGGAGCACAAGTGTTTATATATACAGAATATGTACTGTTTAGGGTTCGGGAGATATTTTATTTTGGAGTTTCATTTGCAGTATTTGACTTGATTTTTCTTTCAGTTGCCCCGCTCTGTTTTCTTTACAATGAGCCTTCCAAGCTTTACAGTATTTTCCGAGAGATGTATGTGCGCTATTTCTTCAGGCTTCATTCTATTTCCTCGTCTTCTTCGGTAAGTTAATGGTACTAAAGCATACTGGGTGATAGGAATTTGCCTTTTTTGTAGTAGAAACAAAATGGTTTGTTACATGTATGTAGTAATATGCAGTTTTTTTTCTTTGCAAATACACATTGCACATATTTACATATTTTTGGTGATAAGCATTATTTTAATAATATTATATGAAGCAGTTATTTTTTTACATACAAGATTAACCAGTCATCACCATATTTGCTACTTTTCTATTACAGTATGTATATAAAGGTACAAGTATTTTGCAGGTGAAGCAAAACTGTAGAGATAGTGATAACATTTTGGAAGTAGAATAAATGTTAAGAATACCTGAGAATTTGTACTTGCAGGGTATTGTGTCGTTGTGCCTGCAGTTTGAAACCCTTCTCCAGACACATCTCCCACAGCTTTTCTATCACCTGCGTGAAATTGGAGCACAGCCGTAAGTGTTCTCGTCTATCCTTTGTTTTTATCACACTTCTGATTGTCTGCAGTCCAGACAATTTCTTTACTTAAAATGACTGAGTCAAATGTGTAAATGCATCACAAAAGAGCAATAACAAAAAAATGTCAAAAAGTATTTTTTGCTGATGTTTTTAAGAAAGAGGTGCTATTTCATGCAACAACAACAACAAGTATAAGCATAACATGTCCCCACATAGTGTGAATTCACAGTTCCATGCTTCAGTTTTTAGTGACATCACATTTACTCTTATTTGTTTTATAAAAATATAGATTTTTTTACATTTAAATTTCACAACAAGAAAGAACAGATATATCTAAGAAATGTGTTAATGCAAGGGGAGGCTGCAAGCATAGATGATAAGGCAAGAAAAAATTATGTGGGTACATTTTTGAAAGTTGTTGAAGAGGGTGACTAGTCCATGAGAAAAGTTACAAGTGAGAGGAGGCCATTCCCCCATTTTGCCTATTTTAAAGTAGCTCATTTATCCAGGGATCTCACCTAGCTGTTTCTTGAAAGAAACCAGGGAATCAGCAGCCATATCACCCTGCATCTCACAACTGGCAACCCCTTGAAGCTAAGCAGATGTGAGCCTGGTCAGTACCTGGATGTCAGACCTCCTGGGAAAAACTAAGGTTGCTGCTGGAAGAGATGTTAGTGGGGCCAGCAGGGGGTGCTCACCCTGCAGTCTATGTAGGTTCTAATGCCCCAGTATAGGGATAGGAACACTATTCTGTACTACACTATACTGTAAAAAGGCTCTTCGGATGAGATGGAAAACCGAGGTCCTGACTCTCTGTGATCTCGAAAAGAGTAAGGGTGTAACCCTGGCGTCCTGGCCAAATTTCCCATTGGCCCATACTAATCATGGCCTCCTAATAATCCCCTTGTATGAATTGGCTTCATTACTCTGTTCTCCTCCCCACTAATAGCTGATGTGTGGTGAACGTTCTGGCACACTGGCTGCCATCACATCATCTACAGTAGGTGGATGCTGCACATTCATGGTGGTGGAAGGGAAGCCCCAATTCCTGTAAAGCACTTTGAGTGGAGTGTCCAGAAAGGCGCTATATAAGTGTAAGCAATTATTAGTAATTATTATCAGCTTCAAAAACATGGCCACATGCCAAAATGTTTTTAAATCTGAATAAAACGGGCATGTTCTGGAAGATGATGCCATCCAGGACATTAATTTCAGGGGAATCCTCAGGAATCCTACCTTCAACTATATTGTACTGAAATGCCAGGCAGGAAATCACCAAGAATAACATAAAATGTGTTTCTTGCATTCTCTGGCACACTGGTGAGGTTAGAGTAATAATGAAGCCAAAACATTATTAGACACAACAAATAAGTATTCAGTAACAATAACTTACACAACTCTATGGAACATTATATACAGATATACTGTACTATACACAGGCAGTGTGTTCTAGATTCTTACTACAGAATTAAGAGTTTTAGCCTGAGCCACAGTATGGGAAATCTGAATTTTCTAAAATAATTCAAATATCTGTAAGATACCTGCTGCAAAATAACTAATTTTGTCTTGACAAATTTTCTGTTTGAGCATATAAGTTTGCAAAACAAATACTGATTGGAAAAGGATGTGTAAGTATGATTTATAATACGGCAACGTTTGAAACATTTTAAAGGATCTGAATACTTTCTCAGGGCACTGTATAATAAATACAAGTATATTCGAGATAATGGAGGAACTTTTTAGGTGATGCAATGGTACTGACTAAATTAAATTATTGAAATAATATTTTACTTGGGCATTAACAGCAAGGCAGGAACAGGCAAAATATTTCATTGTCTTAGAAAGAAGAACAGCAAACTCTCATTTTAAATAATATTAAGGTAGGAGAAGCTAAAGTGTTCCAGGTGCTAGATGCTCCTACAAGAAATCTATAGGGTCTGATTCTATTCTACATCTGTGGTTAAGGATACAAGAGCTGTTATTCATTTGACAAATCTGTCAGTCTCTTGACACTCAGGGGTATTATTTTAGAACCCATCCATTAAAAGGGTGACAAAACTCCACCAAGTAATTATAAACCAATAAATATTTGAAGGAGTATTCAGCATGAATTAAGAAAATGTAGCCAATGATAAAAGTACCTTTTTTGAATTTTGTTTAACAAACAACAGCAGCAATGGATACAAATAGAGCTTATGATATTAGCTTTTAATGATTTTCATAATAAAATATTAATTTTCAAACTGCAGGCAGGAGGCATACAAGGTAATGCATGTACTTGGATTAAGAATTTGTATCAGACAGGAAATAAAGCATCGGAAATATGAAATTAGTGGAGTACCATAGTGCTCTGTTTTAGGATCACTGCTTTTCCTATTTTATATTGATGATCTAGACCAGAGGATTCAAACTCACCTTAAGGCCAGTATCAGTCTTCAAATTCTCCAGGTGGAACAAAAATATCACTGAAGGTGTTTCCAAAAAAGTTTCATTGAGATTCAGATTTCTTAAGCAAAAACTTCTGCATGCCAGATAATTATTTGTATTTGCCAGACAAAAGCTCAGTTTTGTTAATCTGTTGATGTTTGGCTTCAGCTACTGATCAGTTGAGACATTTTGGACTGCAGCAAGGTGTGCATCTGTTCTGTGTGCATCTGTTGTTTGTGTACTGCAGCAAGGTGTGCATCCGTTCTGTTGTGTGTTGTACTTTGGCTTGTTAATGTTGATTGTGAAAAAACAAATGATCACAAACGCAAGAACTGCCAAGAGAGACACTGGTTTTCAGAAGGTCTTGCAAAGAGAAATGGGGTGTTTTCTGAGTACTGCATGTTGTACAGTATGTTAACTGATTAATGTAATCTTTCTGTAGAAGTAAATTATGTTAAAGAATCAGACTCTATAAAAATTAAACAAACTTCTTTCTGATAGACATATGCCAATTGATTGTCCTCATAAGTTAAGTAGGGCAGCATGGTAGTGCAGTGGTTAGCATTGCTGTCTTATAGCTCTGTGGCCCTTGGTTGAATTCCTGGGATACTATATTTGTGGAATTTGCATGTTCTGCTCATGTTCATGTTAGCTTCCTCTGGGTGCTCCAGTTTTCACTTACAGTCCAAAGACATGCTGGTACGTTAATTTGCTTCTGTAAAAATTACCTGTGATGGATTAGCATCCTGTCCAGGGTGTACCCTGCCTTGCGGCCATTGCTTACTGGGATAGGCTCAGATACCCCCTACAATCCTATACTGGATTAAGTGTGTTAGAATATGGATGGATGAATAGGTTAAGTACTAATACTGTTATTCAAAAGTAATGACATGACAGAAAAATGGATGGGTCTACCTGTCATTCCTGTATCCTGTATTAGGGTATACAGTGCGTTGCGAATGTATTCGGCCCCCTTGAACTTTTCAACCTTTTGCCACATTTCAGGCTTCAAACATAAAGATATAATTTTTTTATTTTATGTGAAGAATCACCAACAAGTGGGACACAATTTTGAAGTGGAACGAAATCTATTGGATTTTTGAAACTTTTTTAACTAATAAAAAAATGAAAAGTGGGGCGTGCAAAATTATTCAGCCCCTTTACTTTCAGTGCAGCAAACTCACTCCAGAAGTTCAGTGAGGATCTCTGAATGATCCAATGTTGTCCTAAATGACTGATGGTGATAAAT